TTTCCTCAAAATCTTGTAATAAACCCAGCTTACATATTTAGATTCTTTCCCATATCAACTTTACTGATGAAAGTTTGCTACCCAGGTTTTTAGTAGTCTGAAATGAAATGGTAATGGGTATAAGCCTGGGTGGCTATTTTAGATGCATTCTAAACAGTAGGACAATTTCTTTCATTTGGTATACTAATATAGCTGTATAATTCAGAGAAACTTTAAATCAAAATTTCTTACTTTTGGCAAACACCAGGTTGTGTTGGTTAGTTGTAATAATAGAGTAAACCCTCTACATTTTTGAGCAATGTGTCCCTCCTAAAATCCCCAGGACTCAAATACCTTAGAGTATGTACTTTTACCTCACAATGGGATGAACAACCAAGATGGGTTGCAACATAGGCAGAAGGCTGGGTTCACCCACTTGCTAAAACCAGTCTCAAGGTAAGTTCCAGATTTTATGCTAAGGACCCTGGGGTGGGATGGAGGGCTTAGAGTCAAGACCAGTTGATAAAACCTAGTGAGACCAGTCTTGCTTTCCACCTCACTGCTCTGCACAGTCTTCATCTTGACTCTAGCCAGTTAGACTTGTAACTCGATTTTTATGGCACAGTAACCCCAACCAGAGGCTTCTCTGGTGGCTCCTTCAGTCAAGAATCTGCCTGCAATGCGGGAGACCTGGGTTTGATCCCTGGGTTGGGAAACTCCCCTGGAGCAGGATATGGCAACCCACTCCAGTATTCTTGCCTGGAGAATCCCCATGGACAGAGGAGACGTGGGCTGCAGTCTATGGAGTCGCAAAGAGTGGGACATGGCTGAGTGACTAAGCACAGCAAAGTCCAAACAGATGGCAAAAATGCCCATTAGTTGAGACAAGCTTGATTACCATTTCTGGAAAAATTTTTAAAGTGAAGGCAGCATTGTGCATTTGTTGTAGACTGATTATTTCATTTAAAAAGAAACCTGTAGTACTGTACAAACAGCATCAAATTGAAATAGCCTGAATGCTGTTGACAAGCAAACGGTGATTCTTTTAGTTAGCAACAAGGCTTTGACTTAGTCAGAACTTCCAATAACATGAAAGCTGTGTTATGTTTTTGATACTTCTGTTAGAGTACACAAAGAAAGGGAATTGTTTTATTCATTTTTTTTTATGGTGAAAATGTCTCAAAGCAGAGATTAGAGATTTTAGTATGTTTTATAATTTGAAGAAAAACATCAAATTTGAAGGTCATTAGAAAGATAAAATTTGGATTTTACTTTAGAGGAACACATTTCATGTGAAGAGTCACAATTTGCTTCGTGCCAAGAACAAGACGAATCCTTTACCACTTACATGATAGTCTTACACAGCAAGGTTTTAAAAATAATTTACATTAAATGGCAAGATACATGAAATTCTGGCCTATTTCAGGTATTCAGGGCATACATTTTCTTTTAAGGAGATTTGTTTTCAAATAGTGAAATAGAACCATTAATGCTTCTAATCTGCAAGCAATATCAAGAAAGCTATGTATAATAAATACATAGGTACAGTGTCAGTACAAACCTCGTAAAATAAATAAACACCAACTCAGTCTACTTCTGTGTTAGAAACATGGTTAAGTTTCTTACTAAGATGCCACAACTCAGTAGATAACATTATTCTAAATTCATTTTGTAGAAACCAAAAGTCTGTGAATATAAGTGATAAACATAAAAAACCCAACATCATTCTATATGTAAAAAGAAACACTATAGGAGAGTTCACAATGGTACACAATACAGAGAGTAGGTTGAATTATTTTTTAATGAGTCCTAGAGGACATATTTACATGTGCAATGCCCCAAAGCTTCCAATTCTTAGCCATAATAGGTATTACTAAACTAGCCTGCTTGTTTTCTTACCTCTGTGCATCTTGTTCCCAGTTTTCTAAGTCAGGTCAGCAAACTGTGGCCCTTGAGCCAAATCCAGCCTGCCACCTGCTTTTGTGTAGCTGTTCAACTAAGAATAGTTTACATTTTTAAATGATTTTTTTAAAAAATCCAAAGAGGAATATTTATGCCATGGGAAAATGATATGCAATTCCAATTCCAATGTCTTTAAATAGTTTCCTTGGATCACAGCCACCACATTCAATCATGTATGTATTGTCTATGGCTGCTTTTGCACTAAGCTGAGTCATTGCAGCAGAGACCATTTGGCCCATAAGAACGAAGATATTTACTGACTAGCCCTTTACAAAAGTTTGCTGACTCCTGTTCTAAGTCAATTATTGCAAGCTGAGCGGTGGTTTTTCCAACTGTTGACATGTAAAATGGCAGTCTGCTGGGCTTCTTTGCTTCATTCAGTAGGAAACCAGTTGATAGCAAGGCCTGTACCATTTTGCTTGACCTCAGCGTGGACCTCGTATCAAGAGTTCAGAAATCATTAAGTTTCCAGTTTAGTTTATGAAAATAAGGGAATTATATTTGTCTCCATTATGTTCGTTCTTGGTTTTAACTTCTTGCCAAAAGATCTTCACCTGTAAAGTTGTATACATAGGCTTGTTAGTATTAATATCTTCAAAGTGAAGCAGCAGAAACAGTTCACAGTGTAGCAAGGTTTAGGGTTGTTCACCAACAGAAACCCACAGCTCTGGTGGCTGGGTTTGGGGCAGAGAGTATTTCCTATAAATTCATAGTGTTAGAACATGATGTTCCTGGGAGGTGGAACATTAGGCTATTTCTGCCCTGGAACACCACATTCTTTAGAAAGTTATTTAACCACAATTAAACTGTTCAGTTTTTTTTTTTTTTTTAAAGGTGGACTTCTTTCAACTGGTTAAATATATTACTTATGGTAAATAATAACTTGTTTAGAAATTCTTAGGTTATTATTAGGGGGTAACTCTTGAAACTTTAGAGGTGAATATTTCAGAACAAATAACATGAAATATTATGTTGCTCAGAAAGCAATAAAAATACTAAAGTTGTTTTCTTATGAGCATATACAGAAAGGCCCTTCTTTTTTCACAAGTGCTCTTTCTTGGAGACACTCTTTGTAAAGTTAATAACATGGGACATATATTACCATATATACATCTATGCACCAATGGCTATTATTCTTTCAATGACTGTTAAAGAGAACCTTCCCCAAATTTAGGGAAAGAGGTCAACTGACTGATTATGAATTTCTGCTTATGATAGGAAAATTGAATCCAAAGGCAATCATCTAAATCACCACCACCTTCCCTATTCCCATAAAATATAAGCAATCAGTAATGCTCATTAGAGCAAGCACATTATTTTGAAGTCAGGTTTCTAATGGAGTTGTATTATGTACTTATTAATCTTATGGCACACCCAGGGCTCTTCCTCTGCCAAGTGTAATTTCACTCTATCATTAACAGAGGTTATAACAGAGAAGTGAGAGGTGTTCATAACATTATCACACCTATGATTTATTTGATGCTAAGTTCTTAATATGGAGAACAATATTTGAAATTCTGATCACTGTCTTTACTGTGTGCTCACAGACCCACTACCATGATGAGTCATTTTCCAAAAGCTGGCTGGAGAGGCTCAACATGGTGCTTAATCCTAAAGCTCACTTAGTTCTTGGAGAAGGCACTATTTCAGTGACACTGTCACTGAGAAGGAAAGTAAGTTGAGTCTGGAACTTTTAAAAACAAGATACCAGGAAATTCTCTGGTGGTCCAGTGGTTAGGACTTTGCACTTTCACTGCCGAGGACCCGGGTTCAATTCCTGGTCAGGGAACTAAGAGGAAGGAAGGTGGTAATAAAGATAACTATAAAAAAGGGGGAGGGTGCGAAATACCAGATGTACCACAACAGAAAATGGGTGCTGAGCCTTCTCAGAGTCTGAAACAGCCCAGGGTTTCACTATTCTTTGCAGATTCAGTATTATCTGATGCTGTATGATGTGGACTGCTGCCACGGTGCTGAGATTTCTTTCTGGTGAGTCTTTGCATACAGAACCTAAACAGCCCTGACTTGGAATAGTGGGGTGTGCAGAAGCTCTGGAGAAGGTGATTTCCTGTATTTCACTATGTCTGTTTTGAAAGAGGTTTCTTTGTAAGTGTATCCGGGGCACCAGTTGTTTTAGGAGTTGCTTCTGAAACATTGGCTCAATATGGGCTCTTGTAAGTCAGATTTGGCCCCATCAAGAGGTATCAATAAATTCTTTTAATTGTGAGCTACAGTTTTATATAAGAAATACCTGATTGTGATGCAGACAGATGATGCAGCTGTGTAATATAAGCAACAATGCCTTCACCATGCTGTTGGTCTCTCAAGGATTTTAAATCTTAGAACTCTATGATGGAACAGGTGAAAAGAGGGCTTTAATAATCCCTTGAGTTCATTAAGGAACTAAGTGAAAGAAGAGATCTGTGTTTGGTTTCCTCACATGCCTTTTTAAAAAAAATTCAGATCCATTTAAATAGTTTAAAACAGAAGGAAATTTACTCTGTACGTGAATACCAAGCAGTGAGCTGGCAACCAAAGGCATGGTTTACTTCAGGCTGTTATGTCATTTTGCTTTCTTTTTAATCATCACAACCTGCATGCCAGATTTTAATTTTTCCATTGAGTCAGACGAAATGGAGGTTGTTGAGGCTAAATCAGACCTAAATTAGAAGAACAGCAAACTAAAAATCCAAAGAATGAAAACAGAATGACCCATAGTAGTCCTCTGAGAATGTTCATATGAATTACCAGTAATTAAGACAGTTCTATGTCTGATGAAATAAAGCTACTGTAGTTTGGGCAAGTTTATTGTCCTCTTGGGGCCTCTGGTTATCTACAAAAGAAGGGGGTCTGAAATCATCAGTGCTGAAGTCGTGTGTATCTTCAGAGCCCCTTTTCTGTAGGGTTCCATCCCTACCTGCCTCGGACTTCCTCCTCTTGGAAAAGACAAAAGACAGTGCACAAACTTATGTCTTACAAAGTAGTATAGTTGACCCCCGTTTAGAATGCTGCAATTGAGTCACTGACTCAGGATACCTGGGTAAACTGTGCTATCTTGCTCACTGTCGGTAGTCTGTGGCATCACTGGAAGGCATGCCACCCATAGGTTTCTCTTCCTTGTTTTGGGTATTTTCTGAGGCCAAGACCTGAGAAGGTGATGTGGGTCCTCGGGGCTGTTTAGTCTTGGTGAGCTTCTTGAGTTCGCTTGCAAAAGAGATGCCTTTTTTTTTATCTTCTCGAGATGCCTGTGGAAAATAAGAACCTTCCCTTGGTATTAGGTTAAAGAGACTGTATCAGAGCCCTTTCTTGTTCTCTCTCTAGTAGGCAGAGCTTTGGAAAGCAGGGCGGAGGGGACCCCCCACCCCCCTGCCACCTCAGGACTGCTTACACCCAGAGGGAAAGACATTTCTTTCCACACGGTGAAAACAGAGCCAAGCAAAATTCTTCCCACTAGTGTCTTTGACTCAGGAACTTCCTCTGGCTTTCACTAGCTCCTGAATTTGATTATACTGTAGTTATGAAAATCAGATAGAGCAAAATAACCTTGAACTTTACCTGCACCTGTTCCTTTAGCTTAAGGATGAATTTTCCTGCACCTTTCCACTTGCTTTGAGCTTGAAACACACACTCCTGATCCAAAAGGACACGCTGGGAGGCCTTTGGGGTGGAAGACTTCCTGTTGGCGGTGTCTTTCACCACCTCTTCCAAAAGCACATAGTCACTCGGGTTGGGGTTGCTCAGGATGCTATAGGAATATTTGGCTTTGCATAAGGTCTGAAAGGTAAGTTACGATCAACAGAATAAAGACACAGTGTCTCAAACACTTGCTTCCGTGTAAATGAGACTTTAAGGTGGAAAAATGTCACAGACTTTTAGACAGGGGTGGGGGTTGGAGGATCCTTTTCAGATCGTGTCATCCCACTTCTCATTTTACATTTTCACAGTTGTAGCTTATACAAACTTGCCCATATTGCCTCATTTAGCTTCACAGCACCCATCCATGATTTAGACATTCTAATCCCCATTTTTCAGACCAGGAAGCTTAAACTTAAGAGGTCAGGCAGATTCCAGAGGATGAACAGCTTAGTAAGTAACACAAAAAGGACTTGAGCCAGATTTTCTGCATCCACCAAAGTTCATGGACCTGAAAGTCACCCAGACAGTGAGGGACAGAATCCTGACCTTCCAGAGCCTCTCTGGCCCACGACACTGCCTCTGCATCTCTTGGTCTTGGATGTTGAAGGCATTTTAAGACTTACCTGGTCTCGCTTCTCTTTTATCTTCTATCAAGACTTTCATTTATGCATGTATTCACTCATCAAAAATTTACTATGTTCCAGACACTGTATATAGTCTGGGGAGTTCAAAGTCTCCCCTATTAAGGAGACTAACATTAACCAAATTATTGTGCAGTCAGTGTAGCAAATAGCACTTAAATAGTGCTTGTCATGTTAGGTGTTATACTAGGCAAATGTCCATTACATATATTTACTTAATGTTCACAATAACTATAAAGAAAGTGCTGTCATACTATCTTCATGTTTTCCTGTGTGGTAGCTTGGCACACGGCATTGTGCTGGAGCCCATTGGAATCTGATGTGTGAGGAATGTACAAGATAGAAACTACAAATGCTACAAATCAGGGTCTTTTTTTTTTTTAAAGAGAGCCAATTTACCAGCACACCCATGTAACTTACGCACAGATGGTTAAATGACTTGCCCAAGCTCTCTGAGCTAGTAAAATGTAGAGCCAGGGTTTACATCTGCAGCAACCTGATCTAGAGTCTGTGCTGTGAACCATTATGCTAACTTCTCAAGCAAGTGTTTAATAAACACAAACCACTACAGGGCTTGGAATGAAGGCAGCAGAGTTCTCTGGAGCCATATACACAGAAGGGGAGAGGGTCAGAGAGGCCTCCTGCATGTTGTTTGAAGGATCCCGGAGAGATGGTCACTAGGTGATAGACGATGACACTCCTGCTCTGCAGAACCACCTGGCTCAGCTGTCAAGGCTTCCGAGAGAGCCTGACTCAGCACATACTGGGCAAGTACCGTTGAAGGACCGGATACTCCCAGCCTTACCAGGCACATGCTGCCTTGTCATGTCCCCTTTGTTCCAGAACCTCATCCCCAGAGGGAGCTGGGCCCAGCAATTGACACTGAGGACAGGGCTGGGGGAGGGCGGGGAGGCCTTCACCTGCTGAATGACGTCCTGCGCGGTGCTGACACGGGGCGCTTTGATGACCGTGCGCGGTTGCTCGGGGGAAACGTCATGCACCTGGACAAAGAAGCTGTCCTCCTCTGAGCTCAGGAGCACCTCCTTGTCATCTTGTGCAATGTTCCTCTCCTCTAGGTTCTATGTTAAGAAAAGGAAAGTCTGAGTAAATGATAACATAGAATAAGGAAAGAAAAGTAAAAATTTGAGTTGGATCTTGGTAACGTGGAAACAACTTCTTAGCTTGATATCCCATACACTAGTTACTGTTTCACAAACTATCCTAGAAGGATATACATGTCATCTTAGAGGAGGAAAGTACTGTAAGTTTCTGCTAATGTTGACACCCTGATAAGGTCTGGTCCCGAACAAGCCAGTAGATCTGCTCGTGTTTGCTGTGGATTTTGAGTCCACAAAAAAGCTAGAGATAAATTTGTAAAAAGACAATATGCCATTTTTCCAGTTACTAAAATTCAAATGGGCTTCCCTGGTGGTGCTCATGGTTAAGAACCCACCTGCCAATGCAGGAGACATAAGAGATTATGGTTCATCCCTGGGTCGAGAGGATCCCCTGGAGGAGGGCATGGCAACCCACTCCAGTATTCTTGGCTGGAGGATCCCTTGGACAGAGGAGCCTGGTGGGCTACAGCCCATAGGGTCACGGAGTCAGACATGACTAAAGCGACTTAGCACACACGCAAAAGCCAAGTAAGAATACAGTAAGTACATTTAAGAAAAATCCCATCCATTCCCCAACAAAACTTGAGCATTTAAGAAATGCTAGACATCTGAAATGTGAAACATGCAAGATTGACATTCCGGCAGGCTGAATGAACAAAACTCACAGTGGAAAGGCTAAAACAATGACTGGAGGTAAGTCACATCGAAATGAATATTGACAAAATTCTCAATAATTATGAGAATTGGTCATTAGGTTAGATGGTTTTTGGTGGGTTGGCTTTCAGTGAATTTTACATTTATAATTATGTGTTTTAAATACATAGTTGAAAGTGAAAGTGTTAGTCACTCAGTCGTGTCCGACTCTTTGCGACTCCATGGACTGTAGCCTGCCAGGCTCCTCTGTCCATGAAATTCTCCAGGCAAGAATACTGGAGTGGATTGCCAGTCCCTTCTCCAGGGGATCTTCCCGACCCAGGGATAGAACCCAGGTCTCCCGCATTGCAGGCAGATTATTTACCATATCTACAGCCATGTATCTTTTAATTGTTTTTTTATTTTTAGACAATCATAGAAATGGTATTAATGCCTCATCCAATATAAACATAGGTATCTTATCAAAAATTTTCAAGCAGTAAGGAAATATATCAATATAAAGGCAAACTTCCCATTTCTACTTTGTTTCTTTCTTCCACCTCTCCCATCTCATTCGCCATTAAAAAACCACTGTTGTTAGGTTGTATATCCTTTGAATCATCTGCTATGGATATAAAAATGTATTTTTGTGTATGTGAATAAATATATACAAAGAAACCCTGGGACTTCTATAGTGGTACAGTGGAGAAGAATCTACCTGCCAGTGCAAGGGACACGGTTCAATCCCTGGTCTGGGAAGGTTCCACATGCCATGGGCAACTAAAGCCCTTGTGCCACAACTCCTGAGCCTGCGCTCTAGGGCCCTCGAGCTGCAACTGAGCCCACATGCCGCAACTACTGAAGCCTCTGCTGCGCAAGAGAAGCCACCACAGGGAGAAGCCTGTGAACCACAGGGAAGACTAGACCCCCACCCGCCACAACTAGACCAAGCCTGCACAGCAACGGAGACCCAACACAACCAGAAATAAACAAAAAGAAATCCTGGAATTACGTGAACTTAAATATTACGTCATTGTCAAATGGCTCCTGTTCTTTGCTAGAGCCGTTTTCAAAGGAGGGTCGTGTAAAGTTATCTTCCACAAGGGAGCAGCATGGAGACGATGGGGAGGTGAGGCAAGTAAACAGTAGGCAATCCCACCTCAGGATGGGAGGATTTGGCAGGAAGGCCCTCCAGTCCCCAGCATGCTTCTAGCTTAATCTCATAACATCCCACAGAAACGGTGCTAACTAACCAGAAGAACACAAGAATCACTCTCATTGTCCTGGAAATTCCAACCAGCCCTAGGAACCAGAATTGTCCCTGTTGATATTAAGGTCAAAATGGGTATGGGTAACTGCCACCAGGTGGCGCCAAACTGTGACGTGAAGTGAAGTCACTCAGTCGTGTCCGACTCTGCGACCCCATGGACTGTAGCCTACCGGGCCCTCCGTAAGGTCAAAATGGGTAACTGCCACCAGGTGGCGCCAAACTGTAGCCAGGACCAAAACGGACTGGCTCCTGGGGCTTCTCACCCATCAGCTGCACAGCCTCACTCCAATCGTTTCATTGTTTCTACAGTTGTGATCCCTACGAGTTACATACAGCTGAAGTGTTTGGATTCCACTCATCAAATCATGCGTGAGGGGGAGAGAGCTATTCTCTATTCTTATTACATAAAATGAGACTGTAGTACATATACTGTTCTACAACTCATTTTCTCTCTACTTAAAAGGCTGTGATCAGGGACTGCTTCCCTCGTGGTCTGGTGGTTGAGACTTCACCTTCCAACACAGCAAGTACCGGTCTGATCCCTGGTCAGGGAGATAAGATGCTACATACCTCAGGGCCAAAAACCCAAAACATAAAACAGAAGCAATATTGTAGCAAATTCAATAAAGACTTTTTAAATGGTCCACATCAGAAATACCTTTTAAAAAAAGACTGTGATTATCATTTCATGTCAGTTTCTAAAGATTTTCCATAGTATGTCTCTGCATTGATTACAATATATTTAACCAATTGGAGAGTGGGGTTGGGTGGTAATTCACATGACATAATTTATAATCCTGAAAGCTGGGATGTAAGTAAGCAAGACAGAAAAGTTCTAAGTTGCCATATAAAATAGCACAATGACCATGCAGTAGGAATTATTTCTAAGAGCACTCCTTAGAGCCTTACTCAGAGCTTATTGATTTTTAAGCTGTTTTCAGTCACATTAGGAGCCATAGATTATGACAGTAACAATAATCCTCATTTGCATTTTCCTTTATAGTTTACTAAGCATTTTTCTACATTTTATCTACATATTTGACTTGAGTCTCATAATAATTTTTTGAGCCAAGCAGGGTAGTTTCTATCAGGCGTGCATGCTAAGTTGCTTCAGTCATGTCTGACTCTTTGTGACCCTATGTACTGTAGCCTGCCAGTCTCCTCTGTCCATGGGATTCCCCAGGCAAAAATACTGGAGTGGGTTGCCATGCCCTCCTCCAGGGGATCTTCTCAACCTAGGAACCTAATCTGTGTCTCCAGCGACTTCTGCATTGTAGTTGGATTCTTTACCGCTGAGCCACAGGGGAAGCCCAGTTTCTATCATAGACTTTACAAATATGGACACAGAAGTTTACAGAATTCAGATGATCCTTTGAAAGTCATCTATCTAATTTGTGTCAGAGTGGAGTTTGTCTCATTTCAAATCCAGCAGGTGTCAGAGGAGAGCATATTGACTTTAGAAAGATACCTAACAGCTTGAGAGTCCAGGAAACAAGAAAATTATACAAAGTAGACAGGCAGGATCAAAGGTCAAAGACAGCAGCTTTGGAACTTTTAACATATGGACAAACTGCCTACATAGCTTCCTAGTTTCACAGAGTAGACTAAGTGGAAATACTTATAGCCCAAATCGATCAACTATGCCAGTGTCTGCTTCCATTTAGTAAGTGCTGAATTCATTTCGTCAATCAGTAAATTTGTATTGTGGTCACTGTGCAGCTGGTAAGCCTAGATACATGAAATATGATTTGTTATCTTTTGAGACATATTTCAGTCATTTCAAAACTTTCCTCTCAACAAGGCATATAAAGAAGAACTTGCTATATCATACTCATCAGAAAATGCTTGTTAGCCTTCCCCTCTACTATATCCTTCTTTTTGCAAAATGCTTCTGTTCCACCAGCCTTGATCAAACATTTATTCCTGACATCTCTACTGCTTATTGTCATATACATTTTAATTGCATATGGGGCAGCCCTGGTTTCCCAGTCCTTCCAACCCTGTGATGAAGACCCATCGTGACACTCAGCAGTCTGCCCATTGCTGCTCACTACTTCCTCCTGCCTCCCATGGTGCTGGGCATGGAGGAGCCACGAGCACTGACTCAGCTCCAGCCTGGGCAGCATGGGGTGGTGGAATGAATACTGACCGGAAGCCGTAAGACTTCAGTTCTTTCTACTTCTCACCCTGTCATAATCTAACCTCACTGAACCTGTTTCCTTTGTGTAGAATGGTTTCCATTATATTTTAAGATGATTCAAAATGTTGGGTGCTTGAGAGCATTAAACAATGTAAGATATGATGCAATATATGGTTAAAAAATTCACTTCACTGAAATTGTCACTTCTAGGATACTTTTCGGTTTTTTTGGCTAGGCCATGTGGCAGGCGGGATCTTATTAATAGTTCCTGGACCAGGGATCGAATCGGTGCCCCCTGCATTTGGAGCACAGAGTCTTAACTACTGGACTGCCAGGGAGGTCCCTAGTGTACTTATTTACATGTGACAAAGACAATTAGAAATAGGAAAAAAAATTAGAGAGAAATTAAAGATGGCTTCAAAAGCCCAGGTGAGCCCTCTGATATTTTCTTCTACAGCTTTTATGATTAGAATTGCTTCTCCGCGATCTTAGTACTTTGTACATGTCTGATGGGGAGAAGACGCTAGGGAGATAATTACATTTCTTGGCTTACAGGAAGTGTCCTTTTATGATCTAAGACAAGGTTAGGAGGAAATGCAGAGGATCTGGTTCCTAGAGAAGCAGGAGTGTGGTGAGGCTGCAGGCCATGTTCATAGTTACACAGAGAGCGAAAAATAACACACGATGCTGAAATGGGCTCTTTATCACCTCTATGTTCTAGCAAGCATGGACCCCGCAATGGGCATTTTACCAGTCCATCTCCATTTCATGCCCCAAAAAGGCAGATCATGTGCCTAGAACAGGGCCTGGCACAATTAAGTGCTCAATAAATATTTGTTTAATCAGATCGTTGAACTGCTTCAACTGCTTTCTTATTGATCTATCCATCTATGTAATGACCTTATATGTCATTTTTAAAAATGGCAGTCAATCAGTGGGCTAATATAAGTCTATTAAAAAGAAAAGTGCTCCATCAGCAAATCGCATCAGGAGTCCCCCAATCTGGAGTCAACAGACAGTACTGTTTCCATTATCAGAATGATCATGGGAATATTAGGGATCATAATATAATCTGCTACAAATTCAGACCAAAGCTGAGAGGTTATTCTTACTTTGTGTAATCTTATGGAATATTTTCAAAGAAATGCTGTTGTTTCATGAATTAGCAAAAAACCTTTTATTAGCTAAAACTTGAACGGGCACTAACAGGAGGACCGGAGAAGACAACGGCAACCCACTCCAGTGCTCTTGCCTGGAAAATCCCATGGACGGAGGAGCCTGGTAGGCTGCAGTCCATGGCGTCGCTAAGAGTCAGACACGACTGAGAGTCTTCACTTTCATGCACTGGAGAAGGAAATGGCAATCCACTCCAGTGTTGTTGCCTGGAGAATCCCAGAGATGGGGAGCCTGGTGGGCTGCCATCTATGGGGTCGCACAGAGTTGGACATGACTGAAGTGACTTAGCAGCAGCAGCAGCAATGGGAGGGCAACCAAGCCCCAAATGCAAATGCCTACAGACCTTCCATTACACAGCAGTGACCCTCACAGCCAGGTCTTCACACATTCAGGTAAAACACTGGACACTACACTGATGACATGCTTAAGGAATCCTTTGAGTTCTTTCTCCCTTTGTTTCCTAAGGGATGATTTTTAAACCAAATTTCTATAACTTAGAGTTAACCCTCTGAATATGTGCAGAAGAATAAAATTGATTCTCCACATTTACTTAAAAGAAGACTATAAAGCAAGTTGCAGTGATAAGAAGTTCTGAATTTGAGGGAGGCGGCCAGTGGTGAGTTAGTGAGTTACATATAAGCTGTTACTGTGTAGGCTGCCCCAGGACACACTTACTTCCTGCTGGGTTTTTAAGACAATCCTGCCAACGTATCCCTCTTCTGGAAACCAGCTGCTTAAAATTTGCACAATCTCTTCTTCTGGACCAATGGCTCTCTGGAACGGTTGTTTCCTACATTCATTCTTCTCTTTAGATATGAAATATTTTTCCTCCATTAAAAAATAGTCTGTGGCAATAGGTTTGGTATCTTGATCCATAACGAGAATCTAAAGAAAAAGCAAAGACTGATTAAGGCACACTTCTGAAGAGTGGCAAAAACTTTAAACCCAAACAAGTCTATTTTCTCAGGGTTCGGATAAGTTTGGTTTGCAATTTATAAATGAAATCTACCCTGCAGTGTTGCGTAACTCTTTCTGGAAGATCTTAGAATTCTCTTACGTCTAAAAAGAATTGTTTATGTTCATTCTGGGCAATGAAACAATTTATTCTAATCACCAGCCAGCAAAACAGTTTTTCCCACTGATGGAATAAGAGCTCTTACTGAATTAAAAACTTTAGGTTTTTCAATCCATGAACTTAGCTCTTTGTAATCTTGCAACACAAGACCAAAGGCAAAGAACCCAGTCCAGCTTTTACCAAGATAATCTCCCATTCTCATGTTAGAAATACTCAATCATCTTCTAATCTCATCTGATCTAAGTTCCTGGGAATTCCCCTTTCAATAAAGTCTTGACAGTGTGCCTAGAGGCCTGTTTTCTCTATTGGCTACTGATCCTGACAGTTGAAGTGGCTGAGACCAGGCTGGGGAGCCAAACAGACTCTGGTCTGAGGCCTGCGTTTAGTACTTACTGGCTGTGAGGTTCTGGCCAAGATATCTGACCCCGTGGAGGCTCAGTGTCCTCATCTATACAGTGGAAACAGTAAGAGGAGCAATTCTGTCTCTTAATTTTGTTTCCTTTTATGACTGAGGCACTGACTGTAAAATGTAACCCAGGTGCATCAGGATAACTTAAAGCCTGCCAGGCTCCTCTCTCCATGGGTTCCCCAGGCAAGAATACTGGAGTGGGTTTATTCTCCAGGGGATCTTCCGGACCCAGGGATCAAATCAGGTCTCCTGCATTCCAGGCAGATTCTTTACTGTCTGAGCCACCAGGGCAGCCCCGGTAAACATTATGATAGCTACTCTTACTGATGTATTCTTTCACATGGTTTTCTATTATCCAGATTACTGGCAAAAGCTGAACTTTGAGTGACCAGAGAAGGCTGCCAACTTCTGGCATGGAGTAAGCAAACATCCTTCTCCTCAGGCATCCATCCACACGACCATGCAAGCATGCAATGACCAGAATCAGCACTTGGTGATTGATTGGTCTCACTCAGAGAAGCAGAAGGACCTGGGGATGGGCTGGAGGTGGGATAGAAGATTCTCAGGAAGACTCTGCTCCCTTCACTGCAGACCTTGGTCTCAGGTTGATGCTGGACTGTGGATTTTGTGAGGCAAGGCAGCTACCACTACAGCAACAACTAAGGGCATGAAGCTTCCAGGAGCAGGTCAGTTGACACTGTCACCTCCATGAGATGCCCAGCATCACTCCCTCTCCAGTCCTACTCCATAGCCCTGGGATTACTCATGTGGACAGTAATGTGCTGCTTTTTATGGGTGGTCCATGGAAATGCTTCCTTACTTTTCATCATTATATTTTACACTGTCTCCAAAACCCCAACAGTGCTTTGTGAGAGTAGACACCAAAGTTCAAAAACAAAACAGCCCAAACCCCTTGGTAGTAGCTACTGTTTTATAATCTATGAAATTTGACACTTGAGCTGCTCTGACTTTGAGTCAGTTGTAAAATGTTGGAAAAGATGTTAACCTAGAAATGCCTCTCAAAGAACTGTTTCTTAACTATAGACTCAGTGAACTTACTTGTTGGAGAAGCTGCTTTGCCTTAGTGGCTCCGTTTATAGAGAAAACAGTAAAGGGCTCTGGACCTGGGACACCATGCACTGTGACTCTGTGAGTCTGCAAACATTTTCTTTCTTCTGTATTAAACATCTGTCAAGGAAGATCATATGATTTCTCATTCATTTTCATTCTCCTGTTTCTAGGCTACATCAATACAGAAGTGCTGGTTCTTAGAAGTACACGCAGGGACACATAAATGCAAAATAAGGCCAACCTTTTATAACCAGATGCATCTTTTTGTGGTTTTAGGCAATAGTGCATGTTCCTTAATAGTCTAGTAAGAATATTTAGCAGCATACCACCAAAGTAACAATTTATTTTAAATAACAGTGTTTCTTTCCATCATAATTAGGGGACTGATATTGTCTGAAATGTATGTCAGCCCTTACTTATGAAGTGACATTCAACAGTGTCTACTGAGTTCCATCTCTCTTCAGGGCACTGGGCTAGAATTTTGATGGTAAAATGATAAATAAAATATTCTGGCCTCTGGGAGCTTGCTGTCCAGGCACACAAATAATTGTGATATAAAAAGTATTTTTGTTAGGAAGAGTTGGGGAGGTGTGTAACTCTCAAGTCTTTGAGCAGTTTGTATACTGAGATAGATTCATTCATAAAATACAAAATAATTTATGGAAGGCTGACAATGATGGCTCTGGGGTTTCAGGGAGAAATAAGACATCCCTGGCTTCAAGGTGGGGGGCTTCTAGAATAGAACAGCTAGAAGAATAAGTGGACACACCCAGAATGGGACACTACCATCTAATTCTTGCTCTTAGGTACCAGGCAGATCGTCCCTGCTTCCCAGGCAGGCAGGCTAACAGGCAGGCACCAGGCAGAGGCAACACCTCTCTCTGCGGGCCAACATGCTATACTCAACCTCGATCACTTGCTGAAGGGAGAATGAGGAGAGCCCAAGAAAACAAGCTGAGGGACAGAGAGAGAGAAGAAACCATTGAGGTGAGGGGAGGAGAAACAGAGGAGAAAGCAGGGCTGCTCAGAGGTGATGGCAGCAGCGGTCAAGTCGGCGCCACTGTGAGCACAGAAGGCAGCTTTTCAAAGGTTGTTAGGACCACACTGAAGTATAAGGTAGATGCAACCAGACTTCTCTGGTGGTCTAGAAGTTAAGAATCCACCTGCCAATGCAGGGACTCAGTTTCGGTCCCTGGTCCAGGAACTAAGATCACGCATACTGCAGAGCACCTAAACCCGAGCACCGCAACTACTGAAGCCCGTACGCGTAGAGCCTTTGCTCCCCAACAAGAGAAGCCACTGCAACGAGAAGCCCAAGCACTGCAACAGAGTAGACCCTGCTTGCTGCAACTTGAGAAAGCCGGTGTGCAGCAACAAAGACCCATTGCAGCCGCACCCCCGCCAAAATAAATTTTTAAAAAATCAGTGTGGCTATGAATAGATTACTAAACATGTAAAGAGGCAATGGATGGACACCCTTTAATTTTTCAAGAGCAAGCATAGTGGAATCAACCAGTTAATCAAAGCAGAGTTCCTTGTCGAGGTGAACAGCGCTGCGTTACTGGGGTGAGCGTTGGTCCAACGGTTCTCAAACTTTAACCGATGGACCTCACCATCAGTTCTCAAACTTTACCGACGGACCTTAACCAATGGGGAACTTGTTAAAACCCAGCTTCTGCAATGGTGGCCCTTTTTGCAGTGATCCTCTCCCATTCCCGAGAGTGCAGGTGCTGAGTCTCCTCAGGTGCCAGGGTACTGCTAGGCTTGCAGAGTTACCTGTCGCCAGCAGCGCCTGGCTGCTCACCCAATCCTGCTCGCCTGTGACATCTGCCCCTGCACTACTGAAGAAGCAAAGGATTTTCCTGGTCTAACCTAAATCTTCTAGAAGTATCAAGATGCTTCCTAGCAGGCTTTGCGTAATTAGCCTTTTCCCTGTGTTGTTAATTTTGGCTCACTTCCCTGGCAAGTACTTTGGCACTAGACGATGAACTTGGGTTTATAGCTGTGTGACCTCAGGTGTACTTAGCACTCCCCTTCCTTTGTAACATGGAGATGATACTAATAGTTATGTCATGAAGTTAGTGAGGATCAAATGAGTCAATATATGTGTAAAGTGCTTAGAATGTGTCAGGTATCAGCCACTGTTGTTACAATTATATCCATAGCCACCTAATGTATGACTCGAATGGACCACATTCCTGGACCACAAGAAAGCCTGCCTCTGGTGTCGCAATTCCCACAAATATGCTGAGTGAAATAGAACTTAATTACCAGAGAGGCCGGCACAGTATTGCCAGAGGAATTTTCTTCCATCCTCCTGCTGTTTATGAATAAACTAGAGATTTCCAAGACTTCATTGTGGAGATTTCGCAGCTGAAGATGTCGATATCCTGGAACAATGCAGAATTGGGAAAAGCTTGTTAGCCATGCATTGCAGAGCTCTGCAGAGAAGATGCCCCAGGGAGGTCAGTAATGACAGGGAGAAATAAGACCTTCAGATGGGCAGGGTGACAAAAGGCAGGTGACCGACAGATGCCTTTTCTCTTGAGTGCTGCCCCCCAGGGACAGTTTGGGGCCACCTAGTGGTTGTAGTTACCTTGTCCAAGTGCTGTTTTTAAACTTAGACTCAAAACGAAAATTTTAAACTTAAACAATGTACAGTAGGAAAATCTGATCATTTTTGTATCAAGTCATCTAGAGTCACTGTTCTATAAATATTTCCTCTTAGAACAGGTTTAGTGATAATAAAGTATTCCAACAACAGAGAGTTGGTTAAAGAAGTTACAGTGTGAGTGTTTGTACAAATATAAAATAGAATAATACGCAACTCTGTAAAGTGGTAACGAAGATGTATATCTATTTACCTGATAAGTTGTTCACTACATATGTTAGTGAAAATCAGTAAGTCACAAAACATTAAGGTTAGTAGGAAGCTTACTTGTTAATATTTATACACATGGGCAGAGAAATAAAGCCTGCAAAAAATATCTACACCAAAAGTAACTATCTTGAAGAAATAGAAAGATGGTTAATTTTTTTAAAAAATTGTTTTTGTTCTTCTGTACTTCATCATATTTCTATAATAACTGTTAGGAACTGAATGGTGTCCTCATAAAATTTGTGTGTTGAAGCTCTAACTCCCAGTACCTCAGAATATGACTGTGTCTGGAAATAGGGTTTAAAGAGGTGATGCTGGTCACTCATTATCAGAGAAATGCAAATCAAAACCACAATGAGGTACCATTACACGCCAGTCAGGATGGCTGCTATCCAAAAGTCTACAAGCAATAAATGCTGGAGAGGGTGTGGAGAAAAGGGAACCCTCTTACACTGTTGGTGGGAATGCAAATTAGTACAGCCACTATGGAAAACAGTGTGGAGATTTCTTAAAAAGCTGGAAATAGAACTGCCATATGACCCAGCAATCCCACTTCTGGGCATACACACCGAGGAAACCAGATCTGAAAGAGGCACGTGCACCCCAATGTTCATCGCAGCACTTTTTATAACAGCCAGGACATGGAAGCAACCTAGATGCCCATCAGCAGATGAATGGATGAGGAAGCTGTGGTACATATACACCATGGAATATTACTCAGCCATTAAAAAGAATTCATTTGAATCAGTTCTAATGAGATGGATGAAACTGGAGCCCATTATACAGAGCGAAGTAAGCCAGAAAGATAAAGACCATTACAGTGTACTAACACATATATATGGAATTTAGAAAGATGGTAACGATAACCCTATATGCAAAACAGAAAAAGAGACTCAGATGTATAGAACAGACTTGTGGATTCTGTGGCAGAAGGCGAGGGTGGGATGTTTCAAGAGAACAGCATCAAAACATGTATATTATCTAGGGTGAAACAGATCACCAGCTCAGGTTGGGTGCATGAGACAAGTGCTCGGGCCTGGTGCACTGGGAAGACCCAGAGGGATCGGGTGGAGAAGGAGGTGGAGGGGGGACCGGGATGGGGAATACATGTAAATCCATGGCTAATTCATTTCAATGTATGACAAAAACCACTGCAATGTTGTAAAGTAATTAGCCTCCAACTAATAAAAATAAATGGAAAAAATAAAAAAATAAAGAGGTGATGTTGGGTCATTAGGGTGGGGCCTAATCCAACATGACCAACGGTCCTTATAAGAAGAGGAAATTGGAAGGCAGACACAGGGAGACACCAGATGCTGTGCACACAGACCAAGGGACAGTCCTGTGACGACACAGTGAGAAGGTGGCTCTCTGCAGGCCAAGGAGAGAGGCCTCAGTAGAAAGCAAACTTGCTGAAACCTTGATCCTGGGCTTCTAGCCTCCAAAGCTGACACAGTAAACCTCTGTTATTTAAGACACCCAGTCTGTCATATGTTGTTACACAGCCCGAACTGACTAACACAGTCAGTGTTATCACATAACACAGTGAGTATGACCATGTGCTAGTCACACAATGGAGAAAAGAAACAGGAAAAAAAAAAAAAAAACTAAAGAGTAGGGGACTGTAACATGTTGGTGGAGCTCAGAGGCTGGCAAAATGTGGTTGCAGGAAGAAGCATGTTCAGGGAACTTGATACTCAAATGAGGTCATCAGGGGCAGCGTCCCCAGAGCTTGTTCAGTCAGTCAGTCAGTCAGTTCAGTCGCTCAGTTGTGTCTGACTCTTTGCGACCCCATGAATCGCAGCACGCCAGGCCTCCCTGTCCGTCACCAACTCCCAGAGTTTACTCAAACTCATGTCCATCGAGTCGGTGATGCCATCCAGCCATCTCATCCTCTGTCGTCCCCTTCTCCTCCTGCCCCCAATCCCTCCCAGCATCAGGGTCTTTTCCAATGAGTCAGCTCGTCGCATGAGGTGGCCAAAGTACTGGAGTTTCAGCTTCAGCATCAGTCCTTCCAGTCAACCCAGGACTGATCTCCTTTAGGATGGACTGGTTGGATCTCCTTGCAGAGCTTGTTAGAAAGGCATAAATAATCTCAAGCCCCAAACCCACTGTATCAGGATCTGCATTTTATTACCCAGAGCCCAGGTGACTTGATTGCACATCAGTTTTGAGAAGCAGTGCATGAACATTCTGGACAAGTATGACAAGCTGACGTTTCCCTGAGGGCCATGGCAAAGCCAACAGACAGCAAAGCAACAGCTCTAACCTTTGCTCAGGATTCTCCACCTTCCCTGCTCTGCACCCAAACCCACCCTTGGCTTCCCACAATGGCCTTCCACAACGGCCTCCCACCAGACCTCGACTCCAGCCTCAGCCCACTGGTGCCACCAGCACAACCCAACCCTCCCTGCTCTTGGTTTCCTCTCCTTACAACAGTTCCAGCTTTAAACATGCCAGGGGTGCAGTGGGAGCTCCTGGGGAGGGATATATGGGAATAAGAACGCAAGGACCACTGCTCCCAAAACAGGCAGAGGTGGCAGAGGCCATATTTTATAAGAGATGTTGGCAATAACCTTGGATTTTAGAATAATGTAAAAGAAAAATGCCTTTTGAGGCATGCTCAGGGTTCAAATTTGCATTATCTTCTTCTGCCTCTTATTTTACCTTTTTAATATGAAAATTTCAAACATACACAAAAGTAGAGAGAGGCGTGTAATGGACTCCAGGCACCCATCACTCAGCTACAATGATCACGAACTTTTGACAGTGATTCTACCTCGCTTTAGAGCCTTGAGGGAGATGATTCTCTGAGCAGTGACCACCGAGCTGTTGTTCTCCACGACAGCAAAACGAACAAATACGAGATCTTCGAAGTGAACCCGGAAGAGGAACTGTTCATTCCACATGGGGTTCAGAGTATTGCGGTGGATGGGCTTCGTGCGGAAGTGGCAGCTGTCCAAGGCCATGCCCAGGACATCGACCTCAATACATGGGCTCCCCGTGCTATTACTCGGGCACACGTTCTGCCCAGAGACAATCTGAGGGGAAGAAAGGGTCAAAGTCACTGGGGTTGCAAAAGAAACAGATGTCACCACTGAGCCTCACTGCTTCCCTCTGCAAAGAAAGACAAAGAACCTTCTGGAATGGACCAAGTAAATGATTAATAAGGCTGCTAAAAAAAAGAGACTGGAATCATGGGAAATTGCATCACTGGAATCATGGGAAAGTCTATTTTGTCAACAGCATTCACCTTTCAACTGTCAATATACTTAAACATCTTCAAAAAGCCACACAATTAAGATGAAATTGTTTGTCAAGAAGTTGAGAAAAAAGACCTTAATTGTGAAGCCACAAATGTGTTACTAACATTCTCTTCAAAGTGTTTTAGGTGTATCTTTTATAACTCCAAAATGTTTTTCTTAAATAGTTAAGGTCTGGATCAAGTCACAAGGAATGCTGTTAAAAATTTATAGCCTTCAATCAACATGACGCTATAATCAAGTCTAGCAGAAATGGTCACACAGGAAAGGAGCTACTGCTCTCCTGTCTTAGGGAAAGAGGAAATGCAGTTTGGTGGTAGGATAATCTGTGAGTTGGGGTTTCCCAGGGGTGTGAGGTATTGTGAGCAGACACTGCTTGGCATTCCTCCTTAGGAGGGAAACAGATGAGATCTAAAGATGGACAGAAGGATAACTTCATCACTCCCTGTCTTTTCTAGCACCCATTCAGTTTTGTGTTGTTTTTTTTTTTTCCCCTCAGCTAAGAGGGAGTGAGAGAAGCTGGAAATAAAATTGAGTAATGAGCTACGAGGAATCTGATGTTAAGGGCAGTCTGTGGAGTTCTGACAATTAGTTAATTAGACAATAAAAGGAATAAGGAGAGGCCAGGAATGATTATAAGGAGGGAAGATGTTTAACTGATTTGTATATTGATGCCTGTTTTACTTTTCATAAGAGCCTATTAGAGTGTAAGATGCCTTGCTCTAACAAGCACCTCAGCTTTTCCGGGGTGCACTGAGAGTTATGATTCTGAGGGCCCTGGAAGACAGAACTACCACCACCAGTACGGAGGCGGAAGCAGGGGAGGGGGTCAGCACTCTACCTCTGGGCTCTGGCAAGTACAGTACCTGGTGACTGTGCACCTAAACCTCAGCTGCTGCCTTCTGAGACGTAAAGAAATTCTTTTGGGAACTAAATCTGCACCAACAAAATTGTGACATGAGAGTTTGGCTATGCCTTGAAGTCAAAAGCAGTTCATATTCAGTAGGGCTTAAACACCTTCTTATATTCTCTTGGGACCACAGGGGCCAGACTTACAGTTAAAGAATAGACGGCAGGCTCCATGTTGTCCAGGTCTCTTTCCAAGGGGGAGAACTTCTGATACATGGAACAGTTCTTGTCCCACAGAACTGGGGGTTTCAGAACATAACCGCAGCCACCATTGGCCTCAAACATGGCGGCATTCAAATGTAAAGAGAGATCTGTAAAATAGCATCACTTGTTATTTGGTTGCTTAAGTGTCATCTTACAAATAGACTTTACCGATTTTCTCCAAACTTAAACAGGAAGAAGAGAGAACTATCCATTCACTCCATAGATTGAGTGCCTACTATGTGTCAGCTCTTGGGCACCAGAGATACAGTGTGGACCAAGACACAAGATACCCACAGTCTTCATGGAGCTCACTGTCTATGGGATATGCCTCGTTTCCTGCTCCAACCCAGGAGCCATTCAAAAAAACTCCTGCCACTTAAAACCCCTTCTGCAAATTAAAATTTGCAACATCCTTTCAAAAACTAATCTTTGAAATACTTCATTTTATACTGAATTTTAGAAAGGCATAATGGCATTTTCTTATCCCCAAACACCAAACCATGCAGACAATCATACAACTAATTCTTGCCTTTTCAAACATAAGATGAAATCTTAAGAATCCAAGAAAGACCAGGAAAAGAGCCAAAGAAACATATCTTTTCCTTGAAATCTCAATTTCAACTCATAAATTACAGTATTTCTACCTCTATTTTTAAATTGTAGTTAGGTATGAAAAAACAATCATTATCACATGTGATTCACATTATGTCCACAATCCCCTCAATAATACAGTCCCCTGGGAACCCTCACAATGGCTTCCAGTCTTCTGTGGCCAGGTTTTATTTGGCAGAGTTGTCTGATGAATGGTTGGATTTCTGCATGGTTTGGGGCTCGTACACACCCAAATGCTCATCTGATGGCAGAAGTCTGTAGAAAAGCTGCATTCCAAGTGAGCAAGAAGTTTATGAGATACAGCTGACAAATGTCCCCTCTGACAGATTACTTCCATGTGCAGAATGAACTCTGCTACCTGGACCAACATCAAGGAGAAGTGTGGCAAGTAAGCCCCGCAGAGCAATGAGAAGTTGGCCTCTCTCCTTGTCTTGTGAGTAAAAAAATTTCCCCATAAGTGGTGTTGGCCGGGATTATGTGCAGGCATTTCTGGGGTCAGATGTCTTACACACACATCAAAGCTCCTTGAGCCTCTGTCTCCCTTATCAATAAAATTAGTGCATTGGATGCTACCAGCCCCAATGTGCCTGATTCATTGGGGACAATTGCCTGCAACAGCAAAAAACTCTCTTCCTGGTAGAAAACAGGCTATCCTGTTACAGAGGAACACAGACGTGGGCAAGGATGGGTCAGATGATCAAGCCCCATTCTAAGAACTTGTGTGTACTAGTGCCTCCCAATAACCCATGAGGTAGATTCTTTTCGTATTTCTCATTTTTATAGATGAAGAAACTGAGGCATGAAAAGTGAAAAAGTCCAAGGCATCTAGCTAGTAAGAAGTGAATGATAAGGTTTGAACACAGGCAGCTTGACTCACAGTTCCTAATCTTAAGTACTGGGCCATATAATGTGCATCTCGCAAGGGTGTCATAAAGATAAGCGAGATAATGTGCAAAAATCCCCACCCCAGCCTTTGGCACATAGAAGGTGCTCGATAAACAGTAGGTATCAAGTCATGATTATACTGGCCACGCTCATTTAGGTTTGAAGTCTGATTTCATTGGCATTGTGTCTATCTTTGTAGCTCTGCAAAACTTCAAAGCGCCTTTCCTAACTAAAATCTCACTTGGTGATTTGGTATGTAAGACAGATCTACGTGCAGCTGCTCAGTTAGAATAAAGATGGGGTTTCAATCTAGCCCTCCTACTGCCCCCTAGGGTGGTCCCTAAACTTCAACTAGGGCTATAGTTTTAAAACCTGTTTTAACCAAGAATGAATGTGCACAGATGTATGTAACTCCATCAACCCTCTCAGTCAATGCATGGGATGGCAGATTAAGCATATCCTTTACCTTTGTGTCCTTCTAGTCATTAAAAACCCTGTGTGAAGTTGACACATTTTCATAATCATTACGCTTATTTGGGGGCTGGAAAAGTCATCAGAAAGTGTATGACGATTATTCAGAAAAGCATAATAAATATTAATAGAAGTTTTTCTTTTGACTTGGGACTGCATTTCTACATACTTGTAGGTCCTGGGACATGAGGGAAGAATCATTCTGACCCAAATGGAAAGAACTTTCAGGGGCTGTTGCCTATAATAACCAGGGTCTGCCTATCAGGATCAGGTCAGTTTCCAAACTTAAGAGTTTGTCTTACTGAGTGTAGACCTGGGATACTCCTGGTTTCAGATCACTGCAGACCTTCTTGGAGTTGATGGAGCCATTAGAAATCTTGGGAAGAAGTGACCCTAAGTCCATGGGCATGCCTTTGGGGCACCAGGGTCCCCTGAAATTCAGGAAACTTAAGGCAAACAACCCATGGAACATATTTGGATTATTACAAGGGGTATGGGGAAGGGGTTATTTGTTCTTTGGTTGGGATATTTCATGGAAAATCAAGCATTCCCTAACCCATGAATTTTTTTTTTCCAAAAATTAAAATATAGTGATTCCAATGTTGACACTTATCTGTCTGTTTGGACTTGAAATTCACCTGGCAATACCTAGAAGGGATCTAGACCAAAAATCAAGAATGATAGGTTCTGCTGAAGCTCATCAAGACAGTGTTGGCTCAGCACAACATGCATTTATTGTGTGCAAGGGACTGAACTAGGCTCTACCCCCAGTGTGCGAGAATGAAGACCTTTTTCACAGATAGACTGAAACTGGACACAGTGTGAGCTTTGTTCAGCATGGAAGAGGCTTCATCATTACTGGCTGCACTGAATCAAAAGAGGATCTATGGCAGCACTCCCTCCTGGGTTGGAAGATGACATAGAGAAACTTGAGGATGACACAGAGAAATCTGAGTGGGGCAGCTGGAACACGCACCCAGCTAGATTTGGGAAAGAGGCTGAGCCTCCAGGGGTGAGTGGAGGCCAAGCTGCAGTCTCCGTGTGTGCTTCCAGACCACAAGGAGGCTTGAGGAGGGCCCCATTCCTGTGTCCCCTTCAGCTGTGGCTCCCTCTGCCATCAGTGGAGCCAGTGTGTCTGCACCAGCCTCAGCACTTCAGGAGGAAGGACACGTCCCAAACCAAGTGCATTTCCATTTCCTTGAGAAAACCATTTAGCTAGTTATTTCAGTTCACTTAAAATATTTCCGTATCATCTCAACCAAGGGCGCCAGTGGACACAGGGCTACAGACAGGGCCAGAGATATAAACCCACAAGCCACTTGGGACAGACTGAAAAGAAATTTTTACAGCTTTGAAAATATTTCACTATTATTTCCACTTGCAAGTCCAAAGTGTACTGTTTTCATTACTTATCAAAAATACTTAATGAGAGCTAATGTTTGTGGAATGCTGTCTGCACTCCAGGCACTATGCTAAGTATGGTATTTCACCTGCATTATCTTATTCAATTTCAACTGAAAGGAGCAAATATAACAAGGGTGAGAAAATATGACTGATGTCTCTAACCAGGGTTGGCCACAAATGGGCTCTGGTGGCGCCAGTGCCAGGTGGCTGGCTGATCCCAGAGCTATCGCTGTGGTTTGACCTTGGCAGGAGACAGGGTTACGCCGTGGTGGATGGGTCAGCATGGTTGGTTAGGATCTGATTCAGTGCACGTGAGAGAAAGGCGCAGGCTGCTTGACTGTTCAAAGAGAAGAATCTGATTTTTGAAAGAGCTTTGAGGAAACATTCCTCATCTGCTCTTTCTTCATCTGCTGTAGCTCCCCACCTCCCCCCACATCTAAGTAGAACCAGAGCGTTTTATCCTCTAAGCTCTGAGAGTCCTTGAATTTATAAGTCATTCTGTGACTGTGAGCAACTTAATTGCTCTTTGTCTTGGTTTGATTCTCTGAGAAATAGGGATTATAAAGGTTCCTACTTCTTAGGGTTGTTTCAGAGATTAAATGAGATAACAAGGGTCAAGAGTGAGCACAGGCTGCTGCTGTTTAGTCTCTCAGTTATCCGACCCTTTGCGACCTCATGGACTGTAGCCCACCAGGTGCCTTAGTCCAGGCAAGAATACTGGAGTGGGTTGCCATTCCCTTCTCCAGGGGATCTTCCCGACCCAGAGATCGAACCTGGGTCTCCCACATTGTGGGCAGATTCTTTACCACCTGAGCTACCAGGGAAGCCCAGTGCACAGGGAGCCGCCTACAGTAAAAGCTAGCTTGTACTCGGGAGTTTTCGGTCTCACCCATTATCCCCCAGGAGCATCTCATGGACAGAGAAGTCCAAACACTACTTTCTCTGTCCATATAATTCACAGACTTGTTTCCTTTGCATTAGCTGCTCACTGAGCACTGACCATTCATCTCCATTTCAATCTCAAAGGGATGAGAAGAAGCTAAAATGGTATTAACTTGCAAAGTGTTTGGAAAGACCCTACTTTTTAACTGCAAGAAGAAAAAATGAGCAAGACAGTTACTAAAGAATGTTAAGAAATCTTTACCCTGTCAGGTCTTTAAAAACAAATTGGACACAGCTCTATCAATAGCAGTCCTATTTTTAAAAAGTGCTTTAACAACCTAGATGTCCAACTGCAGTTGGGTGGATAAGGAAGTTGTGATGCATATACACAATGGAATATTATTTAATGTTAATTAAAAAGGAATGCATGTGAGTCAGTTCTAATGAGGTGGATGATTCTGGAGCCTATTATACAGAGTGGAGTAAATCAGAATGAGAAAGACAAATACTGTATATTAATGCATATATATGGAATTTAGAAAGATGGTACCAACTATCCTACATGCAGGGCAGCAAAGGAGACAGATGTAAAGAATAGACTTTTGGACTCAGTGGGAGAAGGAAAGGGTGGGATGCTTTGAGAGAATAGCATTGGAACATGTATTTACCATATATAAAATAGATGACCAGTGCAAGTTTGATACATGAAGCAGGGCACCCTGGAGGGATGGGATGGGGAGGAAGGTGGGAGGGGGGTTCAGGATAGGGGGGACATATGTATCTATACCTGTGGTCGATTTATGTTGATGCATGGCAAAAACCATCAAAATGTAATTATCCTCCAATTAAGGCAGAGACTTTTGCATGAAGCCTTCCTAGTGGCTCAGACGGTAAAAGCGTCTGCTTACAATGTGGGAGACCCAGGTTCGATCTCTGGGTCGGGAAGATCCCCTGGAGAAGGAAATGGCAACCCACTCCAGTATTCTTGCCTGGAAAATCCCATGGATGGAGGAGCCTGGTAGGCTATAGACCATGGGGTCACAGAGAGTCGGGCATGACTGAGCGACTTCACTTTCTTTCTTTCTTTCTTTCTTTCCAATTAAAATAAATAAATTAACAAATAATAATAATAAAAATTCTAAAAAGTGCTTTAAAAATGGAGCAGGAACAAGAGACTATTCAGGACTCCTTGAGGTTTTTTTTCCCCCTATCACCTTAACTCTGAAGAGTCAAGAGTACAATTCAGTGTCTAATTCTCTTCTCTTTTCTGTCTTCTGTATTTTTACCCTCACACAGGCCCTAGCTGGGACTCTTGTCCCCTTGAAGACATGTTTTTTGTTGAGATGTCAGATGCAGAGGAGCGAGGGGAGAAGGCAGTCCTCTAGGAGAAGCAGGCCCATTACCATCGGTCTGGTAGTTGAGTGCCACGAGCTGTATCCCATGGAGCCAGAACAGGAGGGGGTTGGGGTTGGAAGAATCAATGCGAGTGGCAGCTGGGTACGTCCTCAGCAGCTGGCAGGCGGTGTGCTGGATCAGCTTCTGAGAATACCTGCGACACAGACGTTTGGCGGCATTTTCATTCAGCGAGGAGATATGGTAGCATTTGGGAGTTCTAATGATAGCGCTGAGGGACGTGGTTGGGTTGACGGAGAAAGGAGAGTCCTCCCAGGCCTGTCGCATTCCTTCACAGGAACCTAAACCCCCCCCAGAGATTAGCCTCAGGTTAGTGCAGAACACTTGAGGTATTTTGGAAAGAGAAACCTGAACAACACCGCAGGCTACAATCACAGCACAGGACACATGGGCGTGCACCTAGAGTGTTCCCTGTGAGTTAGTCCCCCACTTTGAGACTAAAGGACAGCCGTTAAGGGTGTGCCTTTCTACCTGCTAGATGGAATGCTACCCGTTCACGAGTCAATAAATAATAAAGCCAACTAGATCTTCCCCCCAAAAGGAACAGTTATAGAGTTTGAAAGTAAGTGTAACACCAATTTAAATTAAAAGCCCTAAAGTCCTTTGCCTCAGTACCTCATCTTTCTTGTGGATATATTTGCACAGATATAAAACAATGTATATGCAAGGTATTCACTCCAGCAGTATTTTTTTACAGCACACACACACACACACACACACACACACACAGCAATAAAAACCCAGGAAGCAACCCAGAAGTTCTACCAGTGAGAAATGGTTAAATAAATGGCAATATATCCACACAACAGAATACCATAGGGACATGAAGGAGGGTAAGGTAGATTATATGTACAAAAAGCTATGCAGAAAGCTATAGTGCATATAAAAGTTATACATTTTCAGTTATATCCCATTTGGATTATCTTAAAAAGAATCTTATTTTTCTTGAACTAAACACAATAAACTTAATAGTGGTTACCTCTGGGGAGTAGAACTGGGACGTTGCGAGTGGAAAGAAACTTTAATAATACTCTATAGTTTGAGTTTTTTAACTATGAGAATTTATGACTTTGACAATAAAAAGTAATTAGACATAAACTGGATATATCTTCTGGAATTATAATGGGGAAGAGTACAGTTCCAAGAACCATGAGAAGCTTCCAAGGTGGCTCCAATTTTTACTTTTGAGGCAAACACTTTTAAAACATCTTCAGTGAAAGACTATTTTTTAGGAAGCTAAGAGGATAATTTTGTAATTAAAAATATATTTACACCACACTTAGATAATACGAATAATCATGACTATAAAAAAAAAGATTAAAAATTTCCAGGGAAGTGCTTAGTGAAATCTCAGAATTCTCCAGCATGCAGAATCAGACAATGATATTGTCAGAAGGTGACTTTACTTTTTCCAGATGTTTTGTTAAATGGTGCTGTCTCCCCGGGGCTCATTCTGCCCGGATTGTTGCCAAAAATGGACTTCCTGCTTTTCCTTTCTTTTCCTCTGCTAGAGCCAGATGCATTTAGAGTTGACAGGCCTGTTCCCATAAAATGAAAATAAATAAGCCAAAAACTACAAGCAAGGGAACTCAACATTTTCCATCCCTGCTAATGTTTATTTTGAAGTCCTGCTACTCCCTTCTAACCCAGTTCAGAAGATCTACTAGCATTTTTAGCACGATTAATAATAGCATTGCAAGTAATGACAGTGAAGTTTTTATCTCTGTAGGCAAATGGGACAAGACCTTCAGGATTATTACAAGATGACCACAAAATCACACCCATACCTATTGGGTTATGCAACAGAAAGATTTTGAAAAACTGCAAGAAAAAAATCTTTTAGAGCCTAAAGGATTAAGACTCTAGAACCTAATTAGTGCAGTTTGGAGAGATGAAAGAATGGCCAAAGGCCTGAGCTGTCATATAATTGTGTGCTAAGTCGCTTTAGTCCTGTTCAACTCTCTGCGACCCCATGGACTCTAGCCTGCCAGGAACCTCTGTCCATAGAATTCTCCAGGCAAAAATACTGGAGTGGGTTGTCATACCCTCCTCCAGGGAATCTTCCCAACCCAGGGATCGAACCCACAGTCCCCTAAGTCTCCTGCCCATTCGCGGCAGTTTCTTTACCACTAACACCACCTGGGAAGCCCATATCATAACTGTCTAGGATCAATTCCTGCCCATAGAAACCTTGATTTAACATCTACCTTCTTGGTTCCTCAGTTGCCTTATCTGCAAAATGGGTGCAGTGATAGGAACTCATTCACAGGGTTAACCTGAGGATTAAATGGGAAACAGATTATGCTGATAACTATGTTTCAGAGCTTCTCTTCCTCACTCCTGGTCCAGCCACTCTTTGGATCCTTCCTGTCTGGCCAGTGCTAGGGCACATCAGGAACTTCACAGGTATTTGCTGAATGAGGAAACAAATTCACACCAAACAAACCTGGCACCTGGGCAGGATGTAAAGGCAACAGTGAAACCAGAGTTGCCTTCAAACTGGTCCCACTCTCTACAATTGTACCATTAGAGAGTAATTCCTTTAGCTGAAGCAGTATTCAGGAAGGCCACTTTAAGATGAAAATAAACTTTCCGAGAATACCATGTGAGAAGACAGGAGTAAGTAGTGTTTAATAAGAGTGTGGGCTTCCCAGGTGGCTCAGTGGTAAAGATTTTGTCTGCCAATGCAGGAGACCCAGGAGAAGCGGGTTCGATATCTGGATTGAGACAATCCCCTGAAGGAGGAGATGGCAAATCACTCCAATATTCCTGCCTGGAAAATCCCATTGACAGAGGAGTCTGGCGGGCTACAGTCCATAGGGCTGCAAAAAGTCGGACACAACTGAGCTCCATAAGAGTGTAGACTCTGGAATTTAAACCCTGTTCCCTGCGGAGCGACCTCACACAAATTACTTAACCTCTCTCACCACTTATTCCTCATCTCTAAGAGAATCCTGGTTAGGATTACATGAGATAATGTATATCTGCATACTTAGTAGGGTGTCCTGTTCAGAGAAAATGTTCAGTGCAAAGTAGCTATGGGGCTTCTATATCTTTTTTTTTTCCGCTGAAGTATCTGAAACTGCGAAGATGCACAAACTTGAACAAGTGAATTCTTTATCTTAAAACTTTTTTTGTGAATTTTGCCCTCTACACAATGATGTAACAGTGGATTTTCTCCCTAGTAAAACCGATGAAGGGTCAGAGTGAGGGGCTGCATTCATTCTGGGGTTTTTGCACACACCCTGGAACATGCTGACATCCCCCAAGGGTACATGATCCCCCTTTGAGGAGCCTGGGTGTTCTCTGGGGTGGGGTGAGCAAGCAAGAAAACAAGCGCTGAGTGATCAAGAAAAGGGAAAGAATCTGGAGAGGCCCCAAGACGTTATTGAAAGAGCAACAAAGACCCTTAATCTGCCTGGTTGGTCCCTTCACCAATGACAAGGACAACAACCATTTCCAATGAGCCAATGATTTTCTAGACAGTGTGCTAGTCACACTGTGCGCCTTATTGCTAATTTATATAACAACCTTGCAAGTTAGGACTGTTTATACAAAAACCTTGCAAGTTATGCCTCTTTCACCAGTAGAGAACCCAAAGTGCAGAGAAGTTATAGAACTGCCCTGGCCAAGTCACTGAGGAGTGGAGCCCTGCCAGTGAAGCAGGTCCATGATCTGGGGAAGGACGCACCCATGGTCTTCATGGTGCTTCCCTGCTCTGAAGATCTTTTTGCATGGTGGCTCCTTGGGAAGGGACTTGGGATGGTGAAAGGTGAGATGCATAGAAATGGATGACGTAGCAAAATTAAACCAACAGTAGAGCAAAATGAACACTTTTAAAAATTATTATATTCATGTAAGTTTTTAAGTTGTGTCTCAAAGAAATAGACACGGTAGGGTATTTTCCTCCTAAATTATTCAAACAAATCATAATGACAATAAATATTTAGAAGCTATTATGACAATGATTCTGGCAATGCAACTTAGTCATTATGAGAAAGGAAATAAATTTGGGGAAAAAAATGTGAGAAACTTCAATTACTAAAAGAAAGGTTAAAAAAGGGGGGATTAGAATATAGCTTACTTATAAAGGATGTGTGCTATTTAAACACTTTAAAAAACAGCACACTTGGAATTTTAAAAACAAGCCAAACAACCCCATGTTCTGCCTGTGTCTCGTCAGAAACTGTACCAAATGACCTTTGACCCTTCCACGATCCTCTATCAGTAGAGAAATGTAATCTTTCATGGTGACTTCAAATATCTCTGGGAACTTGTGCTCTTTGTTGACTCAGTGCTTGAGAGGAAAAGACAAAGCCAGAGGAACATTTTGGGTGCAGTGGCAACTAAATTTATAAAGAATAAGAGATGCAGTCAGTATGGTTCTTGGATGGAGTGGTCTTCACATTTGTTCCTGAGATGAGGGACATGCAGGCCATGAGGCTCATTGACAGTGAAATAATTTTATCCCATGATAAGAACAATTTCACTAACTATAGATATGGTGTACATATCTATATGAGACAGAAAGTCCGGATCTGTGAAACTAAACCTACATGGCCAGGTTCTTTCGTTTCTTTGAAATCTATTGTTGTTGTTTAGTCTCTAAGTCATGTCCGACTCTCTCGCGACCCCCTGAATGTGTAGCCCGCCAGGCTCCTCTGTCCATGGGATTTCCCAGGCAAGATTATTGGAGTGGGTTGCCATTGCTGGCTACTTATTCACTCTTATCCTCCTTAACAGAATTTGCTAGCAGATAGGCAGTAGCAGCTGCCAAAAGTTTATATATTTATATATTTAAAAAGATGGTAATGATAACCCTATATGCAAAACAGAAAAAGAGACACAGATGTACAGAACAGACTTTGGGACTCTGTGGGAGAAGGCGAGGGTGGGATATTCTGAGAGAATAGCATTGAAACAAGTATACTATCAAGGGTGGAACAGATCACCAGCCCAGGTTGGATGCATGAGACAAGTGCTCAGGGCTGGTGCACTGGGAAGACCCAGAGGGATGGGATGGGGAGGGAGGCGGGAGGCGGGATCGGGATGGGGAACACATGTAAATCCACGGCTGATTCATGTCAATGTATGGCAAAAACCACTACAATACTGTAAAGTAATTAGCCTCCAACTAATAAAAATAAATAAAAAATTAAAAATAAAAACCGTTTATAAGAGAAAATCTAAAATTGAGAAAGTTCTATGATTTTTATCCTCCTCTGGTGTATGAAGGGACCACTGGTTATCTAATTTTTTAATAGCCTAAGACCTCTGTCCCCTTTGCAGGGCAGAGTGTGAGAACTGGGTCTTAAGATAAAGCCTCTGGAAGCAGGATCTGCATCCAGACCACCTTGAAAAAAATGAGGGTTGGTGTATTAATTTCCCTCTCAAGGTCAAATTCATCCAAGCTGCTTACTAACATTTAGATGGGTGCCCCAATGCCAGCTGCTTTCCTGTCCTCAGAAATCTTGTACAAAGGAATCTTTCTTCTTAAGAAGAGGAGATGAATTTTTCTGACTTCCAGATATTTATGGATTTCCTGTTTGCCCTCTGCCTCCTGCTGCTCCATTTGGATGAGCTCACTAGCAGCACACAAGACAGGAGGGCAGTCCTAGGGTTAAGAGCAGGACTTTGGAGGCAGACGAGTTTCAGAATCAGAATTCTATCCTTTATTAACTGAAACGCACAATTTTGGGGGCAATGGTTTATCAGCGTAAGTTCACTTGTACTTCTAAAAATGGCCAATTGGGGAAACCTCCACTGAAATTTTGTCCTTGATCTTTGCAGTTTGGGTGGAGACTCACTACCTAGCTCAGGGATGGGGCATATGACATAAGTCCTAGACCAGGGGTCCCCAATCCCCAGGACATAGACTAGTAGTGGTCAGTAACTTGTTAGGAACAGGGCCCCATAGCAGGAGGTGAGGGGCAGGTGAGTGAGCAAAGCTTCATCCGTATTTACAGCCCTTTCCCATTCCAACTCCTATAAGATCAGCAGCAGTATAATGAATGTAACACTTCTGAATCATCATGAAGCCTTCCTCTGCCCTGCTCTCCCACCCCTTCCCCCATGCCATCTGTGGAAAAACTGTCTTCCAGGAAACCAGCTCCTGTTGCCAAAAAAGATTGGGGACCACTGCCCTAGACTGTCAGAGCATTGCATGTCCTTGATCACAGTGACTGGTTTGGGGATGGGCAAAAACCCAATGAAAAACAATGAAACTGCTGCTGAAAGTTCTGAAAGAGACTCATCCTGAAGCTGAATCTAGAAGTATGCGGTGCTGGCCTGCTGCAGCTGCCTTGCCACCATGAAGGAAAAAGGGCCAACACAGTGGTGACCCACACAGTGGTGACCCAGTGAGAGTCAATGGGGTGATCCTATGAAGTGAGAGGAAAGCCCTGGATAGAGATGTATCTGAAACTTGTTTATCTCTTCATTTTTCAACATATGAGTCAATACATTTCTTCTTTGCTTATGCCAATTTCTGCCACTTTCAAAGAAAAGTCTTAACTGATATGCTCTGAAACCGTGGGCCATTATTTCATCTCTCTCAGACTGTTTTATGTAAAAATAGGGATAAATCTGCCTACTCACAGAATTATTATGAAGTCATTTAAGATGATGTATGTAAAATATTTAATACAAATCCTGGTACTTAAAATTAAATGCTTAATAAATTTTAGCTATTAGTTGTTGTGAATATTATGATTATTATTAACTATTATGAAGAGAAATGGTATGGTCTGAAAAAATGATAATATTATGGTATTATCCACATCAGCATCAAAGCAAATAATAAATATTTAGAAGGTACTATAACAGTGATTTCTGCAACACAGTTTAGTTATTTTGAGACCATTCACAATACCTGATTAAATAGCATATTTGTATCTCTTGGTATCTTTAAATGCTATAAATGATACTGTCTACTCTTACCTGGGAATTTTACTGCTTGGCAATAGATGACAAGGTCAGAAAGCTCTGGTGCAATCTGTCTGCTTTCCTTTTTATTCTGAGGAAGATAAAATTCTTCTCCCAGTTCCATGTCATAAACCTATTAAGGGAACAATGATACTGGTTTACAGAGAAGGTACTGATCAGATCACTTACCTCTGACTTCCCAAAGCTCTTTGTTCCTTTCTTTTGTCATCAGTGTGTTTCACTTGCTCTGTCTTATCCATATACACATTCTTATCCATATACACATATACCTTCCCTAGAGAAAAGCTTTCTGAGAGCAATGGCTGAGTCTAACATTTTTCATCTTCCCCCAGGGAATATAGTTCAGGGTCTAAAATGTAGAACATTCAATGCATATTTGTTGAACAAATAAATGATGAAGTATGTATCTTCTGTGGCTCAAATTCTTGGCACATTTTGTTATTTTGTTCTCCAACAATGTCACTGCAACTATCAATTTGCTCAAAGTCTAACACTGTAAGGCACTTGAGGACTGGGTCCAGGTGTCTCATTTATTTTTCCATTCTTAGTGTCCTCCCTCTGCTAACACTTCCCAATCAGCCCCGTTTATCTTCTTGGTCATCCCAAACAACTTTAAAACTTCCGGCAATTCACTAAACATACCAGGTTGTCCTCCTGCTCTGAATGCCCTGTTTTAATCTGCTTCTCAACTTCATCTTCCAGATGATCTGATAACAATGTGTAATCAGTCCTCTTTGTAATTATTTCCAAGCACTGTTGACATGTTTACTTCGGTTGCTAAATCACCCCCTGTGTTAGCTTAGTGCCTACCACATGCTACACCTCCAGTAGGTACTGGCTGGATGAATAAATGACTAACTTTCTATAAATGATAGAAGAGGGCCCATATCATCACTGTATGGGCTTTGGCATTCAAGGGAAAGTGAGGGGCAAGGTGAAGGGAAGGGATAGGGAGGGAGTGAAATCCTATCTGAAACTGACAACAATACCATGTCCAAGTGCAATCGAACAGAAACCATTCACCTACCTTTCCTTTATTGCAAGCAGAGTTATCCGCTTTCTTTATCCTCTTGGGGATTTCTTCATTATACTCAAACTGAAGTTTGTCATTACATGATTTATTTTCAGGTCTGTCTTCTAGAATGTTGTCTGAAAATGGGTTGGCAGGCTTTAGTGAATAAGAACTGAATGCTTTACTTTAAGGTTGTGTCTATACATCACTGCAAGAATATCCAGGTTCTTGTGCTTATCTGTAAGACTGAGGTGCTGACTACATGTTACCAAAATAATGGCTTAAATTTTTAAATTTTGTTAAATGATATATTCATTTTGATTGAATGGACTAACTTACCAGTTAGTTTTGGTACCATATAGACATAATCTAAATGAGAAAACTCATTTTCATATAATTAGAACTGTGCACAGATTATGGAAGATACCCTGTCAAGAAGCTCTCAGCACACAAGTTTGGGAAAGGTTGAGTGGTTGAATCACTTCTTGATGGTACAGACATGATTTAATCACTCTCACTTTAAAATGAAGCTATTAGTTTCTTTTACCTCTAGAAATGTCAAAACCAGAGGGGAAAAAGGCATTGTTATTTGCCATGCAGTTTTCACAAATATACTTAATTGGAAAGTAAAGTTTTATAATTGTCTATCAATTTATGAAGGGAAAATCTTAAGATAAGGAATCAGGATAGATTTAAACATTTCCAAAGTATGACAGATAATCTTACACTTTGCTCTTACTTTGGTATTTCTATTCAAAATGACTGTAAAGGTTTTAGGAAAATAAACATGATTATGTTCTTTTAAAATGACAAACAAGAAAGCTCATTTCTCACCCACAATTTACTATCTCATCAGACCACAAATGCTTAGACCAAAATATCCTTATACCAAATCAGGGCCATGCAGGCTGCCAAGAAATAAATTAGATCAATCAGTTAATGACATTTTTATTCATTTAAGTGTCACATGCGAATCAGACCTAAACAATAGGAAACAGAATGCTGACATTCATGCAGTTAAAATGCCAGGTTCAAATGGCTTTACCTTCCTGACTGTTAGGAGCAGGAGAAGCAGTAAGGACATCTGCTACAGAAAAATAGAATCAGAAATGGGATAAAAGTAAGGAAAATTAAGGCAAAAAGCCAGATAAATTAAATTAAGGTATGAAGTAAAGCATAAATAACAACAGCTTAAATTACAACATAAATGAAATAAGAACTCTTCCACTGATTTAACAGTTTGACTATTAAGCGATGCAAAGACTAGCAATAAAAGAAGTGCAAACATTGTTAACATTAATCATGCTGCCACATTCACACTACATATCTTCAGTTACTGATGGTCCTAATAGTCTGCAAAACACTTCATGTTGAATGGATAGAAATTGATTAATTTGTTAGAATCATGCAATCATTAGACTTCATATATATGAAGTCACAGAATATCTATATAAAGTTGTATATTCAAATCTATAGTGCATGTTCAACGCTAGTTAAGATGTACAGCAAGGTTGAGGAAAAATTAATTGATATTGCTTAAGTAAAATTTAATTGAATAAATACTCATTAAGAACTTACTGGCCAAAAGGCAGAGTAGTACTTCCTGAAATAAACGAGCCTCACTTGCAACTTCCTTTAGATTTTCTGGAAGTAATTTTCAGATAGTTCCCAGGAACTATCACAGTTTTATAGCCAAAAAAAGGTTTTAGAGAAATTTGCTCATTTGTGAAAACTGAGGACTACAGTTGTCAAAGAGATAAACTGGGCTACCTAGGTGAGTTTTCAGCCTGACTTGCTTTCAATGGATTCAGAAAAGTGAAAGTGAAGGTGTTAGCCACTCAGTTGTGTCTGACTCTTTGTGATGCTATAGACTATAGCCCGCCAGGCTCCTAAGTCCATGGAATTGTCCAGGCAAGAATACTGGAGTGGGTTACCATTCTCTTCTCCAGAGGATCTTCCCACAGCTTTTGAGGAATAGGCTATAAGAAATGATCTTGACTCCTTCCTGTTATCACGCTTTTTCAGTCTCCCAATTATAGAATATGCCCCTTGTGTTAACTGACAGGATTTCAGGTCAGTTTTTAGTTGATGGTATGAAGCAGTCAGGGCATCCCAGGTAGCTCAGCTGGTAAAGAATCTGCCTGCAATGCAAGAGACCCCAGTTCAACTCCTGGGTCAGGAAGTTCCCCTGGAGAAGGGAAAGGCTACCCACTCCAGTATTCTTGGGTTTCGCTGGTGGTTCAGATGGTAAAGAATCCACCCAAAGACTTAGGCTCCATCCCTGGGTTAGGAAGGTGCTCTGGAGGAGGGCATGGTAACCCACTCTAGTATTCTTGGCTGGAGAATCACCATGGACAGGGGAGCCTGGCTGGCTACAGTTCTTGGGATCACAAAGAGCCAGACATGACTAAGCACATGAAGCAATCAACTACTACTAAGGACAATTATTAAATGGACAGAGACTAGTATTATATCTGGGGGCAGAAACAGATTAGAGTGTAGCTGCTGACCATGATGGAGGCTCATGGAAACATGACTAGACAATCACACTGCATGAGAAGTGGATATTTGGAGGAGGCTTGGCTGTCTTCTTCTTCTTTTTTTTTTTAGTTTTTTTTGATATAGGCCATTTTCAAAGTCTTTAGTAAATTTGATACAGCACTGCCTCCATTCCAAGTCTTGGCTTTTTGGCTGTGAGGCATGTGGGATCCCAGCTTCCTGACCAGGGATGGCACCTGCATGCCCTGGAAGACAAAGTTCCAGCTACTGGACTTCCATGGATGTCTCCTGGCTGCAGTCTTAATGCAAGTGGTAAATGGTTGCTGGTCTGGGTATATCTACACATTAACAAAACAATGAGAAGTAATATAGTCTACATTTAAATGTTTAAGTAAACAGGAACTTTGGCATTTTTTCAATGACTACATATTTATCTTTCAGATGTTGCCAAAATTAAAACAATCTATCATCAGCAGTGGTACCTGAAGAAGCATTTTGTAATCCCTAGCAGAGATATGAAATTTCATCCAGATGAAATACACCTGAAACCTAATTCTCTTGTAAGAAGACCCCTTCACCTGTAAAACAGGGGTAGGTAATATCATTCCTATGACTTTTTTGTAGTGCACCATTAGTCTTCACCCATGTTGTTTTCTTTTTGGTGGGGCCAGAAGGAAATGTCTGGCTGGCTTAGTAATGTGAGAACCAGGGTAGGGGGGCGGGTGCAGAAGGGGAATGATGCTTCATTTTTTCCCATGCTCTTGCAAAGCAAGAGTGAAAGCAGTGAAGGAGAAGCAGAGTATGGGAACTTGATGCTGCTCCCTGCAGGTGGTTCAGGAGATAGAAAAGATTTAACCACAGTCTACAAGTTCCACCAAGAGCATCAGACATGCCAGATACTGAAAGGGTAAGAATGTGGTCTCTCTGCTGTAATTCTACCTCTTTCTCTAGAAACCAATTTAGGAACAACTCCTGTGCTGCTTTCCACATCCTCCTCTTGCCTTTAGTAATGGCTCTAGTGGCTGACAGAATCCCCTTCCTTGCTGGGTCCTCCTTGCTAAGTGACAGGATTTCAGAAACTCTTAGATAATATTACAACAATCTGTACTGTTTGTCTATAGATTGCCAGACTTATTTTGGAGAAGAAAAAAAAGAAAGACACCAAAAAACCCAGTAGAAAAACCACCCAAGTGTGCTTCCCTGAGTACATCATCATGTTGGCTCTCTTACCATCAGAGAGGGATTCATAATCATAATCATATTCATCCTCTTCATCTTCCTCTTCCTCATTATTAGCAGGTGGGGAGTTGGCATTGCTACCGTTATAAGCCTGAGCTTGCATGGATGCTAGCTGATGAGCCTGTAAGATAGCAATAATTAAAGACTGTAGATACCCAGCTATTAAACTTTCATTAATGGTTTTCAAAAGGACTACCCAATGCTTACCATAGTCCTAAAAAGTGGCTTAACCTATTTTGATTATCTAGGGGAAAAAAAAAAACCCCAAAACTCTACATTCACTTAAAATACAACATCAGTACTTGGGCAAATGTTAACATCTTTGCAGGAGGAATCCAGGAACTTCTAGAAAACTATCACAAGGAATTGGAATCCAGGTCCCCTAGGACTACTTCCCTCCTTCCCAGGAGAAACCTGGGTGCTTCAGAGAATCATCAATCCTGAATGATGAGGAAGTAAGTCAGCCCATTCATTTTGAAAAAGAAAATCTCTGCTAAAAAACTGTCCCCCACCTCTTAAAATACTATCTAAAGGTCTTTGACATTGAGAGAAATGTTAGAATTCCTATGGATGGGAAAAAAAGAATAGTTGATTTAAACAAAATTCTTTGAACAATATAAGGTTTTTTCAACAAAAAAAGTTTTATCAACTTTTCAAAAAAAGTTTTTATCTGAACCATCAGTCAGATTAACAAATTAGGCTTAGAAGCTTCTGGAAACTTGATGTGTGCTATCAGAAAGGTCATGTGCCTCTACATTTGAGTAGAATTACTGTGAGGGAATAACACAGGACACAAGAATAAATATAAATCTGGGAGCCTAGCATAAGGAAATAGTCCAAAATACAGGCAAAGTTATTTGCGTGAATTAAAAACAGGAAACAACCTAAAAGTCCAACAATAGAGGAACTAAGTCACGAGAGTATATACATATATACACTTGTAAATGTATGTGTACACATCCATGTGAGTATATACATATGTAGACTTGTAAGTGTACGTGTACACATCCATGTGAGTGTATACACATGTAGACTCGTAAGTGTACGTGTACACATCCATGTGAGTGTATACATATATATATACACCTATGCAAATATATATAATTCTATATCCTTTGTTTGATAACTATATGTTAAGAGCTTTATGCCTCTATATAATGATTATACAAAATGACATGCATAAAAGGCTAGATTTTAAATATTAATACAGGCAGGCACAGATCCCTTGGGCAGTCTAGTGAGATAAGATCCTTCTCAGAATATTTTAAATGCATAGAATAAAATATACAAAATTACAAAGGAAAAAAGGAATGTTGACTACAGTTATCAAATGTTAAAAAGACAAATCATGCTATAGGATATATGTTTCTTTATTAACACAGTGAAAAATATATAATGGCAGGTCATGTAATGCTTGTGAAATAATGATGAGCATAAATAATTCTTGGAGATAATGGCAGCAACTCTGATATAATATGAAAAACCTGTGATTTCTATTGATGACAAAGACATATACTGCCAATTTTATTCTGGTGTGTTTCTTATATTTATAATCAGAGGAAAGGCTAAATTTTAGCTACAGGTTAGTGAAAATTAAGATGTAATTTTTTTTTTTCTCAGGAATTCTCTGGAGGCCCAAGTGATTAGGACTCTGCTTCCACTGCAAGGAGCATGGGTTCAATCCCTGGTTGGGGAACTATTAATGAGATCCTGCAAGCTGCGTGGTGTGGCCAAAAAAGAAAAAAGATGTACTTTTTTTTCATCTAACTTCATGGGCCTCCTGAATTCTATCCATAGATTCTATTAGGGTTAAGAATCCCTGTGATATAGGTTGTGTTTGGCTTTGGAACTAAGTGTATTTTACAATAATTCTCTCTTAAGCTTCCTGAAATGTGATTATATTGCATTTGTAATAAAATATATACATAAGGAAGATAGGATTTAGGCTATGTCGATACCCAGATAAATCTTTTACAATGCAGTCCACTCCAGATAACTGAACATGGCCTAAGCTCAAAATTTTTATGGAACACTAGCTCCATGGGTGTTAACAACTGTTATATAAAAAAAATGACAATTACAGTAACCATACAACACAATGGAAGTTTAAAAACAACATCTTACAGAAACTAAAACACATTCCTACTACAGAGTTTCTCAGAGCCTTCATTAAATATGCTAAAGGACATCACGGTTCTTCAAAGATCTCCAGTGCAGCATTTCCCACGCTTATTTAACTGGGAATTTTTTTTTTTTCCCAGAGTGTCTCATAGGATTAGCGTTCTTTCAAACTTTGGGAAATATGCTCCAGGCACAAGTGAGCCACAGAAGCAAGTCTATCTGTCCTGGATAAGCAAATAACCTCCAAACAGTAAACACACAGGGTGGAGCCAAGTATCATGCCAAGAGCTGGGAAGCCCGCCCTCCCTGCCCCCACCCCACCCCAGGCAGAAAGTTGAGGGAACCAGGAAGGGGAGAGCTGCCAGTCAAAGTTCTACCACCAGGTATCAGAAAGCGGAGTGTCAAGGCCCCATCAACTTCCAGGTACTTCCCCCAGTGCAGGAAATATGGGATGGGTGACCCGATGACAGTCAAGAGCTGACTTTCTCATAATATCCTACTTATTTTAGGACAGAAGAACAGGATCTCAGCCCTTGATAAAAGCAATTCAGATAAAGGTCAGAGGGTCAGAGGTAGGGATCAGGTGAAGAGACTGGCTCAGATGGGCCCAGGCAGGAGCCATGTCTCACTGGCTTTATTCCTCCAGCCCCTAGCACAGCACCTGGCACTGAGAGTGAACTGAGTCTAGCAGGTTGGAGTTCAGAAGACCAAGGGTTCAGAAATCAGGCTGTGAGTCAGTCTATCCTTGCTGAGGGTGAGTTCTTTGAATAGAAAGGACCCAGATGCTGTAAGTTAGGGATGGGTCTGAGCACACTGGAGCTCTAGGCATGCATCCCTCAGCCCCCTGTGAACTCAGATCACCAGGTCTGGACCCACAACCTGTCAGGCAACTGAAAAGCCTTGACAATATGACTGTCAGCAGCATGTTAGTAGCTCGGTCATGTCCAACTCTTTGCAACCCCATGGACTGTAGCTCGCCAGGCTCTTCCATCCATGGAATTCTCCAGGCAAGAATACTGGAATGGGTAGCCATTCCCTTCTCCAGGGCATCTTCCCAAATCAGGGATTGAACCTGGGTCTCCTGCATTGCAGGGAGGTTCTTTTCCATCTGAGCCACCAGGGAACTCCCTGGAAAACCACGGGGGTCTGGAACTGTGCTTAAAACACTGATATACTATCAAGGGTGAAACAGATCACCAGCCCAGGTTGGATGCATGAGACAAGTGCTCAGGGCTGGTGCACTGGGAAGATCCAGAGGGATGGGATGGGGAGGGAGGTGGGAGGGGGGATTGGGATGGGGAACACATGTAAATCCATGGCTGATTCATGTCAATGTATGGCAAAAACCACTACAATATTGTAAAGTAATTAGCCTCCAACTAATAAAAATAAATGGAAAAAATAAATAAATAAAAATAAATAAAAAATAAAACACTAATAGTGGGATTACATTGTCTCATTTTTCCAAAAGTAGGAAGAAGTAAGTTGTGGAAGTCAAATGGTAGGAAATGTCAAGGTGATACCTGACAAAGTCTTAGAATGGATTATTTGGTTGTGAGAACACAGAAAATAAAGAGGTGACTAGAAAGAAGTAGAACGAGTTTACTAAGAAAAAATCTCCCATACAGAAACCTGTTTAGACCTTTTGGGTAAGGTAACTCACTTTGTGGGAAATAACAGATAAGCAGCATTTTCCAACTTTCAGGATGGTAAAAATTATTTTTAAGTAAACAGATTACCAGGACTTCCTTATGGCAATTCTGATTTAGTTAGGCAGATTTGGGACCTAAGACTCTGTGTCTTTGAAAGTGCCCCAGTGATTCTTTCTTTCTTTATTTGGCTGCACTGGGTCTTAGCTGCAGCATGCAGCATCTTTAGTTGTGGCATATGGGATCTAGTTCCCTACCAGGAATTGAACTACTCAGTCCTCCTGAATTGGGAGTGCAGAGGCTTAGCAACTAGACTACCAGGGAAGTCCCTGCCCCAGTAGTTCTTATCAATGTATCCTGACTTCTGGACTGCCTTTGATAAGGTCTTTCCTAAAGACCAGAATCAGAATCCTGCCTCTGCCACTATGAGCTGGGAGACTTGGAGAAAGTCCCATAGATGGCTAGACCTCAATTTCTATTCTATAAAGAAAGACGTTGAACCAGATTCTGCAGAAATGTGGGCTTCAGTGAACAGAGAACCAGACAGGAGGCATAATCACCTAAACTCCAGGGAGGTCCTGCAAGAAGGGCCACAGGGCTCTCCAATGGGCCATCTGGCTCAAGGGCAATCTGGGTGAAGGCACAGTTTGGAAAACTGCTAATAAATATATTGAATGACTAATGTTAAAACCCACAGCGAACCTTACATGCTGTTATAACATACTCAAACCAAGAAGAGCAAATTCAAGAGCGATAAATGTGAGGCTCCTTTTATGCGGAAGGTTAACATTAATTGTAAACCTGGAAATATGGGGAGACAAGACATAAGTTTAGTCCTGTGAAAACAATTGAACTCTTTGTTTTCCACAAACTCAACATGGGCCTGGTAGGTGTTAAAGAATTTAAATAGCAAGAACAGTCTGAGGTTGTATTAACTGAGGTATAAAGTTCAGATTAAGAGAGGTGATGCTTACACTGTTCATGAGTTGACAGACCCTAAGCATGGACTTAGTTCTGGAAATCATGTTTTAAGATGGACAAATTCAAGCATATCCACAAACGTAAGAATATCAAAATAGTCTTAATGGAAGAGTCATATCCTGTGAGGCACTGTTGACACGACAGGAAAGTTTAGCTTGGAGAAGAGAAAAGCTGGTGAGAAGAGACATGCTGGCTTTCAAGATGTGCAGTTAGTCTGTGCAGCTGCAGAGGAAAGTTGTGCCAAAGAGTAGGAGGAACAGGAAGGAAGATTCAGGCTCCACATACAGAAGACTTTTGCAACAACACGATCTATTCATTAGTGGAATGGACACTGTGTAAGTCACTGCAAATGTGCAAAGAACAAAGGCAGCAGCTACAAGAACATCCAACTATGTCTTGAAGACCATAGAGCAGAGGGCAGCTGGATCTGCTTGGCACTGAGATGTGGGCAGTAGTTTCTGGATAAAGAGAGCAGACTGTAGGAACAGTGCTGCCAAAGAAAAAGTGCCTTTTATGTGGGGGAGTCAGTTTCTGTGGCAGAATTTGAGGAGGCCAGGTATAAGCATATACATGCTAACATTTTGGTCAAACAGCTTCATAACAAAGCCTATCTGCATAGGTCTCATGGCTTCTGGAACCCAAGTAAATGCAGCAGCTTTGGGGAGAGCAGATCTGCACAAAGGCAGACCTAGCAGAGGTCTCAAACTGGTGGCACTTAGCGCTGACTTCACCTCCAGACCAGACTTGTTTGGCTGATGCAGTGTTTTAAGAATTTTTAATTAGGGTTGCTCATTCATGAAGCCATGTGCACTCCCTTGCCCTCCTCGCCACTTCCCAGCTGTTATATATCCAGCTGGCTCTTATGTTTATGTTTCCTTATTGGCCCCTGAAGGTGGCTGCTTTTGCAACTCTTGGCCCAGGGCTGTGCATGATGGTTGAATTGGGCAATGTGTATCTCCAGGGTACACGAAGACTTCTAGGAATATGCAGGTTTGGATCTTTAAAAGAAATCAATCTCCAGACTCAAGATTTTTCATCATGTTTGGGCACTCTTTTTAAAACAGGCTTGCCTGAGAACAAGCTTGTGGTTGGCTAATTTTCCCTTCCCACCTTCTCTTCATGATTGTTCTTCTCACTTTACAAAAAACAAGCAGAACTCTCACTGATCAAGCAACAATCTTACAGTGATACAGGAGATGAGGTGAAAAACCATTCCAGGCAGTAAAAAGAACATTTGAGGATGCAGAGCTCCTGAGAGTCTTAAGAAATGAAAGAAGGGGGCATCTTACTTCATCCAGGCAGTAAATACATTCAAGATTTTATGTCTTGTCTATCATCTATCTGTATCTATCTATCTATCTACCTATCTCTCCCTTCTTCCCTTCCTTTCCTCTGTCTGTCTATCCATCTACCTTGGAATTAAACTTTAGAAGTGAGATGTGCATCAGAGGGATGATAATACAATGTTTATGTGAATAAAAAAATAAAGTCAGACCTTTTTTGATCAAATGTAAGTCTGACTGGGCTGATTTATTTGACAAGTACTGTTTTTGTATGTTACATTTGTATATAATTTATGTTATCTATTATATATTTATACAAAATAAATACTATTCTCCTCCTGCTGGGGACTGAGGTTTATGCAGCAACTCTTGGCTGTGGTAAGTTTCAAAAGTGGTGTTTCAGGGCCAACAGTGCCCTCCTAAACAGGGTAAATAGTTTTGGCAGCTGTCGTTCTGTGCAATGAGTAAGTACAACCTGGCATATGGACTCACCGGTCCTGGACCTGAACTTTTTCACATATCCTCGGGCAGAGGGCCCTCCTATGCAGGCAAGTTGGGGTGCTCTGAGTATAGATGTCATGAGTGAGGCAGATACAGAAGTGCCTTGGGGTCCACATACCACAGTGATACACCGTGCCAGCTTCCACAGGGCTAGGACCACAGAGCTGCTGCTACTGGGGGTCTACAGCTGACCTCAGGGGTCACAACCCCATGTTCAAGGGCTCCACAGGGGCAGGGACTCTAAAGGGGACTCCAGTGACCACTGAGGGATTGAGAATTGTGAAGCCCAGGTCCAGAGGTAAATGTCGCACATTATTCTGCCCAGAATAAATTAAATAATGAGGTATATGCTATATCAATTTTTCAAAATAAAATTTTAGGTGAGTGGGAAGAGAGTATTTATCAGTCTATTAAAACAAAAGCCAAAACTCAAATATATCACTCAAGGAAAGGGAATCTCCAAAAACTGGTTACCTGGCTGAAAGTTTAGAATGACATCAATTTCTTTGTTCTGGGCATGCAGCATCCCTGTAACCTCTTTAACAAGAGCGTACCTTTTGCTTTAAGATATCCACCGGTGTCTGATGGGCTTTTAATTTCTTATTTTTGAGCAGCACTTTCCTTCTGAGTTGGTCAGGCGAGGGGAGCATTGGATCATCCGAGAAATCACTCTCAAATAAGAATTTAGCCACCAGTTTTTCTCCAAACACAGTCTAAAACAGTAAAGGAAAACACATCATCAATGACTTTTGTCTATACCTAAATCATTTGGCTAGGTATTTCAGCCCAATGGAGTTCTTCTAAAAACCCCAAGAAGAGGAACTAGGAAAGAAGTTGTATCCATGTGTCCCCACCCCTCTGCACAGTTTCTTAGTGGAAAGAAGGGAGGTAGTGAGAAACCAGGAGGAGGGCCTTAGGGCATCACCGACTCGATGGACATGGGTTTGGGTGGACTCGGGAAGTTGGTGATGGACAGGGAGGCCTGGCATGCTGTGGTTCATGGGGCTGCAAAGAGTCAGACACAACTGAGCGACTGAACTAAACTGAATTGAACCAGAGGGCAGCTCTAACTGTTTAGGAAAACACTCTGGGGTCTGATGTACAAAAGAAGAAAAAGAGATTCAGTCAGAGCTGTGGTTTGTAGAATATGGACTGTTCCAGATGTGGGCAGGAGGTCACAGGCTACAAACCTTGAAGAACGTGGGGAGTTGGGACAAAATGAAAAATAACAGGGAGAATTTGTCACCATTTGGTATAAAGAACCACAGACGCCATTCTTACAAAGGTTTCCTGAGCACTGGTCTCCAAAGGGACATTTGTGTCCCCCAAGGAGTGGGTGTGGGGAAAAGTACAGGATGACCTCCTGGAGTGAGGGTAGAAAATATGGCAGTTTCTATTTCTAGTTGTCTTTTTTTTTTTTTTTTAATGAAAACAGAACAAAAATGGAAGATTATTAGTGCTTGATGTACAGACTGAAACTGGAACCCTCAATGTATGTCAGAGGCTGTTCATAAAGGTCCCTGCAGGGCTGGCAAGGGGTCTCCACTGACGCAGAGGGACCAAAGGTGTGTCCCTCACATCTTTGTTTGGTACCAGCTTATTGAGATGACCACAGTTTGGGTGCCATGGTGACCACTGTGGTTAATTTTGAAAAAAGGTTTTTCTTTAAAATATTTTGTAATTAGATGAAAAGTGATTATGAAAATCCTTTACAAACATACAGAAGCTCACACTTTATTCAAGGAAAATGTACTTAGTCAAAGAAAGTAAAGTCGCTCAGTCGTGTCTGACTCTTTGCAACCCCATGGACTGTAGCTGGCCGGGCTCCGTCCATGGAATTTTCTAGGCAAGGATACTGGAGGGGGTTGTCATTTCCTTCTCCAGGGGATATTCCTGACCCAGGGATCAAACTTGGGTCTGCAGGCAGTCTCTTTACCGTCTGAGCCACAGGTGAAGCCCACTTAGTTAGTCAAAGGAGTATTCTAAGTTATGCAATTTTCTTTAAAAAAAGTGTCCTAAAATTTCTGACTTTTTCTGTGCTGCACTTTGTTACTAAATGATGATGATTATAAAATCACTATTAGTCTGTTCCTATGTGATAAGTGTAACATTTTAACACTGATTGAGAAAGCAGTTGCTTTTTAGATAAAATTTGTGTTCTAGAAAGAGTAAAGACAACTGTCTAAAGATATTTTTATTGTGATGTGATTTTGTTACAGGAAACAATGTATTTTAACATAAACACTCATGTAGGCACAGTCAAAAAACTTGGAAACAGATTTTCTAATGGTTACAAAATCCTCTAAATGAAGGATTTTAGTGGAGTTTGAACTCATCTGTTAAAAACATAAAAGTGAAAGTGTTAGTCGCTCAGTTGTGTCTGACTTTTTGCAACCCCATGGACTGTAGCCTGCCAGGCTCCTCTGTCCATGACTTCTCCAGGAAAGAATATTGGAGTGGGTCACAATTCCTTTCTCCAGGGGATCTTCCTGACCCAGGGATTGAACTCTCATCTCCTGCATTGCAAGCAGATTCTTTGCTATCTGAGCCACCAGGGAAGCCCCAAAATATAAAAGTATATAAAGGCAAGACATTTACATACAAACTCTCTAGCCAAATTCCAACAAGAACCTTTGCCTCATTAATGGAATTGAGAAATGAGTACCGTGATTTAACAAGTGCAGTTAATGACAACTCTTTTCCATCTAGATATAGGTATCTTTGTAAGGCATCTTTATCAGCTACTATAGCTATTAAAGACAAATACTGAAATAATAAACTAAACTTAAAACCAGACATGCAAGTCAGCAATCACAAAAGTTTCAAAAATAATGAGGCGTATTCAATCACATTGTTCCCACTAAAAATTTAGATAATAAATAAATAGTCCTAATTTTTTTATGATAGCAAAAGGTTTTTGTATCATTAATAAATAGCATTAAAATGCTATTCTTTACTTTCATCCTTTCTGTTACCCTCTTTTATATTTTATTCTTGCATGTTTTAATTAATATATGAAATATGTTAGTAAGTAGGATATGTATATAATTTATGAATAAGTCAATATACACAATAGGAATACATGGCATATTTTACCGATAGAGGTATGCAATCAAAAAAGTTTGAGGGTTTCTCTGGTGGCTCAGTATGCAATCAAAAAAGTTAGAGGGTTTCTCTGGTGGCTCAGTGGTAAAGAATCCACCTGCAATGTAGATGTGAGTTTGCTTCCTGGGTCAGGAAGACCCCACATTCCTCAGAGAAACTAACCCCATATGCCACAATTATTGAGTCACGCTCTAGAGCCTGGGAGCCGAAATTAGTGAGCCCACAGGCCTAACCTACTGATGCCCTTGCGCCCTAGAGCCTGCGCTCTGCAAAAAGCAAAGCCACCACAATGAGAAGCCCACGTACTGCAACTGGACAGTAGACCCCACTCGCTGTGACTGGAGAAAAACTGGCACACAAAATAAATAAATAACATTATTAAAAAAAAGTTTAGAGACCATCATTCTAAATGATGGCAAAGAAAAGGCAATATGAAAGGCTAATTAGTTTTGTTGGCATTAGTTTTGTATTTGGGAACATTTTCTTCTCTCCATGCCCCTCCCTCCCACTGAGAGCCATATTCCCATAAATGCCTCTACTAGTGGAGGAAGGGGGAAGTATACTGGAGTATTTGCCTTTAAATCTGTTTGTATTATAGTTTCTTTGCATAAGGAAGAGCTGGGTGCTAACAGCAATTGTTGTGGCCAGTCTAACCTCTTTGCCAACATGGATCTCTATATCTGAAGTTGGGCCACAAGAAGATTTGACTTCTTTGCCCTTAAATATTTTCAGCTTTTCTATATATAACCAGCAGATGACACCCTGGCACCCCTGATTTGTGATTCCAAAAGTGTTGGAGAGTTGGTCTTCTTTTACCTCTGAAGGCTTTCTAGAAAGTGCCAGAAGACTACAGAAGAATGCTTCAATCACTAGCTGAAAAGATGAACCACTCAAGAGAGAGCCCCAAGCTCATAGGGGCATCCCCACTTCTCAGGTCTGAGGGATTTAACTATACATGTTTCACAGCTGAGGTCCAGTTGTGGTGTGGTCCATGGTTGCCCCAAATTAAGCTCAACAATAGTCAAACAAGACAAAGACCAAGACACCATCCTGTCACTTAGCTGATACCTTACCTTGAAAATTTCTGCCATTTTTCGTTGCTGAGGCAATGAACAGTGGTTCTCAATTGATATGATGATGGGCAGGTCAGAGTTGATGAAGGCACTGCGATCGATGGCTTCAACCACTTCCTGTGAGGGCCAAAAAGTCTCATCAGAGCTCAGATACCTGTCCAGGGTGTCAAGAAGCAAGGTACTAATAGCCACAGAAGGCATCTAACTTGGTGTATGCAGAAGACTCTGGCCAAAATGGTTTCTATCTTTTTAAATATATTTGCAAGTTGAGCAATACAATAGGTTATTTTCTATAAAGACATTAAACTATTCATATTAAGTATTGTTCACATACTATGAGGAACAGTTATCAGTATCATCAATATTAACATATATATATTGAGTATATTACAGGTAAGATACATTGTTTTAGTTACAGTATCAAAAATAATGATGCATAAGATACTTTCCTGCTTTCAAGGAGTTTACAATCAAATCTACTTGGGGTAATATGACATATATCACCTATATTTATGTCTGCACATAATACAGTTATCAATCCCTCCTTTCCTCAGCATAAGGCAAAAAAAGTTTAAAGAAGACTGAATAGGAAAATGAGTTGAATAGAAAATATACTTTAGCCATTATCTTCACATACAAGACAGAAATAGTAATATTCCTTCTCAGTCCAGTTATAGTTCAGAAAAAAAAATGATGTCACAGCCAAAGACCCTCAGATTGAGGTTTATAATTGCACAATGAACAAATAAACTACCTAGAAACTGACATCATAATACAATGAGACCAGTCTTCCTGGATGATGAGTCTCCCGAGGTGGAATCAGTTCTCATTACTTTATAATGTTATTTCATCCTCTCTCGACACATGATGTTGGCCTTTGTCAGCAGAACACCAGGAAAAATGATCTTTAGTTCTTACAGCAAGAGAACAACTCCTTCCTTTTATGTATCATTTTATGATACAGAAATTACAATAACATTATTACATGATAACTAATTTAAGGTAATAGTTACTAAACTTTGGCTGAATGGGAATATAAGGAGAGTTTTAGATCAACTCCCCAAAAATGAACATGTGCACATCCCCACAATTTGGAGGTCTTAAACCCCAGGATAAGAATCCCCCAACCTAAGGTATAACTTGGAAGAGTCACTATTTAAGTGATGAATAAAGATAATGACTCTCTGTGATCTGGTCTAAAGAAAGTTATGAAGCATTACCTTGAAGGGGATCTTGGTTGTCAGGGTGTGTCCATGATAAATGATGGGCATTCCATCATCTCCGTCCCAGCAGTCCAACTCTACACTCCTACAGCCTTGCAGGAGGACCTGTGGGATCAATGAGTGAATCCACCCCAGATGAGCAAATGGAGATAAAGCCTCAAATTAAACCCAGCACAGGCTTCCACATATCAGTGTTCACGCTCCAGGCTAAAACAGAAGGGCCTAAGATTGAAAAGAAACATTGCATGTTGGCCAAAGGCCACAATTTATCACAGGTGGGGAAGGGATAGAACAGATTAAGGTGGAAAGAGTGCTGACCAGAGCTAATACTAGTGGAAGGTAAAATTTGATAGCAATAACATATGATCATTTTCCCATCAACTTTGGTCCTTCAAGTGACCTACATACTGTATATCCTGAAATGAAAAAGCCAGGCTAGAGCTCTATCTGGGCAGATGTCAGAGGAGATGACACAGGTGCTGATGAGGAAATGAGGACACTGATTCTTTAATGAACTGAAATATTTATATGAATCTAATCAGGATAAAAGTTCCTCTGTGTGTGGTGCTAAGTTGCTTCAGTCGCGTCTGACTCTTTGTGACCCTATGGACTGTTGCCTGCCAGGTTCCTCTGGCTACGGGATTCTCCAGGCAAGAAAGCTGGAGTGGGTTGCCAAGCCCTCCTCCAGGGGATGATCTTCCTCACCCAGGGACTATACCTGTGTCTCATGTCTCCTGCACTGGCAGACAGGTTCCTTACCACTAGTGCCACCTGGGAAGCCCAAAGCTCTTCTATTTAGGCCCAAAACTAATACCTTTGCTGTGAACATGTAGCATGTGAGAAGGGTAGAAGCAAGGAGTTATCAGGAATTTGTTTGCTGTCTAATCCTAGAACAGCATCCACAGCAGAGACGGCAAATAAGTCCATAAACTCCCCTTTTCCATACCCATAGCAGTCATTAGTAATCAATCATAACACATTTGCCCCCAAAGCTCTGATGCATTGTCTCATGACCTCCTCAGCAAAGAACCCCAGGAAACATTACCAATGAATTAGATGAGATGATACCTATTTGCTTTCCTGAATCTAAAGCTGGAAGCAGAGCTCCAGACCCATGTGTTTGGGTGGCATCTCTGTAATGTTAGCTTGGATCAACTTCTTCTTCCATAGACTCTATGTGTGGACCATCTTAAAGATGATGATGATATTCAAAAGGGTCAACCAAGCTAAGAGGTGTATGTATCTGTGAATGAGCCAACTCTCTGATTTAAGAATCCACATACCTATTTCCATGTAACAGCAATCCAGTAACTGGGGGCCAGTGGCCACTACAGTTGCTACAACATAACTTAGATAGTTGAATCCCCCTTAATGCTTTTATATGAGATACTTGCTAGGTTCTTCCCATTGCACACCATAGAGAACCCAGTTTTCCTAGGCAACCTCTCATCCCACCGGGAACTGATTCTGTGGTAAAGAATCCTGAGGCCCTCAGCATTTTTCAGCATCAGAGTATCTAGGGGTGAGTTGCTTTGGGCTGAAACTGTTGTGTAACATGACAGCTAAGACGTGAGGCTCTCTGCCGTGAGCCACACTGGGAAGAACATTCACTGACCGGCAGCAGACCAGATGGGTTTTCAGCATGAAAAGACTAAAGGTCTGTATTAAAGTCCACATAACTTTAAAGGTTCCACATACCACTAGAATAGAACCAGGGCTGGAAATTCCAGGTGAGAACAGGGCTTTCTCTCACTTCTCAACAACCCATAAGTAACGAATGTTAGGATGTAATTGGAGGAGTTGAAGGACAGCAGAGTGGTAAGAAATGAAATAAAAGGGAGCCTCACATTTAAGGTTTAATCACATTCATGAATCTATTTGAGGAGTTTCTGTGCTTTACTCAAAGGCTTGGGGTGTAATGTTAAGGAGTTTAAAAAGAAAATGTCCCTGAAAAAAAAAATTAAAAAAGAAAACCTCCCTGATGTCAAATAGGTAAGTGTAGTAGGAATTAAAGCTAGGACACCAGTCCCTGCTTATTTTCCTGGAATAAACACACACACACACACACACACACACACACACACACACACACACACATTTCATTTCTTTCCCTTAGAACAATAGATTTGAAACTTCTTTTAACCTTGGAATTCTCAGTGCAAACAGAGGGTCAATATAGAAAACACATAAAAGAGCAAATCTTCAGCTGCAGGGGAAGCAGGGCATGGGACCCTCCAATGTCAGCTCTTGTGTCAGCAGCTGAGGTCCCTTGACAGACACTTATTTTGAAAATCATCACTCTAAGAACACATCTTCATTTCATAATAAAAACTCTTTAAATTTTAGAGTTTAAAAGACATATTCCATACCCAATAAGCTTTGGGACAGAAGTTTAACCCATGCTTTGAGAAATATCTAGAGTAATCTGAGGAAAAAAGGAAGCTCAAGTGTGCTGTGTTTATGTGTACAATACAGTAATAATTTTTACACTTAGACCCCTTCCCCCAACACACAGACATGGACACTCACACACACACACAGGACCTAGCTAGATCCTCCCACAACTAACTGGTCTTGTGGGAGTTCAGAAAACAGGGAGCATAGACAAAGGTGTTGCAGAAAATACAACAGAAGCAACAGCCATACAGATAATTGAGAGCTGGATGTTTAGGCGAAAAGGATGTGCTTTTTCTAGTCCAGAGACCCTTCTGAGTTTTCAAGAACATTCCCATCAATTTAAGTGTGTAAGGATAGTGCCTACATTTTGTAGATTTTTTTTTTTTTTGCTAAGTTGGTTGTCATAATGTTGGATTAATTTTCTAAAAAGTTGCAAAACAAAATAAACAATAATCTGGGAATAACTTCATAAACAGTTGCATTTTGTCCTATGCTTTCCCACTACAATATATTGATTTATTTAGCATCTAGGCAAGCGATTAGATAGTTTTCTCATGGGAAAATCTAATTTTAGTAGGAGTGGGTCAAACTAACCAAGATCTAAAAGCTATGAGTCTCAAACTACTACTTATTTATTTATTTATTTTTGCCTAGAATAAAGGTTAAGTATAGATGGGGGGTGGGGGGTGGAATGGAAAGAAAAGAAGCAAAGATAACAGCTGTATATATTGGCAGCTTCCCACACATCAAATTTCCTCACATTTCACAATTAACAGCATATAAGCTCATCAAAGGAGCCTGGGGTCAACTTTCTGTGACTGGGGTTTACGTAAATAAGGTTAATGAAAACCACATTCCCAGTGAAATTCTCGGTACCTGGCTGTAGAGTTCTACTGAGGATTCTCCTTTGAGCTGATGGCCCGTGAGGTAGGTGTTGTGTGAAGATTCAATGTAATAGTAGGAGAGGGGCAGCTGCATTTCTTTAACGTTCTCCTGTGACTCATCATTTTTCGAGGCAAAATTATCTTTATCCATTAGAAACCTAGGGGAAACAATTTTCTCAGACTTGTATAGGAAAACTATATACTCTCCTTTCTGAAGTATACTTGACTTAAAATATTAGTTTCAGGTATGCATGCTAAGTTGCTTCAGTTGTGTCCAACTCTGTGCGACCCCATGGACTGTAGCCTGCCAGGCTTGTCTGTCCGTGGGATTCTCCAGGCAAGAATGCTGGAGTGGGTTGCTGTGCCCTCCTCCAGGGGATCTTCCCAACCCAGGGGTTGAACCCGCGTCTCTTACATCTCCTGCATTGGTAGGCGGATTCTTTACCACTAGCACCACCTGGGAAGCCCAGTTTCAGGTATACAACATAGTGATTCAGTATTTTTATAGATTATACTCCATAAAGCTATTATAAAACATTGGCTATATTCCTTGTACTATACATTAATCCTGTATTTATCATATCTCAGACTTGTATAGGAAAACTATATACTCTCCTTTCTGAAGTATACTTGACTTAAAATATTAGTTTCAGGTATGCATGCTAAGTTGCTTCAGTTGTGTCCAACTCTGTGCGACCCCATGGACTGTAGCCTGCCAGGCTTGTCTGTCCGTGGGATTCTCCAGGCAAGAATGCTGGAGTGGGTTGCTGTGCCCTCCTCCAGGGGATCTTCCCAACCCAGGGGTTGAACCCGCGTCTCTTACATCTCCTGCATTGGTAGGCGGATTCTTTACCACTAGCACCACCTGGGAAGCCCAGTTTCAGGTATACAACATAGTGATTCAGTATTTTTATAGATTATACTCCATAAAGCTATTATAAAACATTGGCTATATTCCTTGTACTATACATTAATCCTGTATTTATCATATGTATTATTTTTAATGATACATCTTTTAATCCCTTTCCCCTATCTTTTTCAAAAAATTATTTTATTTTTTGGGCTGCACCACATGGCAGAACTAAGGTTTCCTGACCAGGGATTGAACCTATGCCCCCTGTGTTGGAAATGTAGAGTCTCAACCCCTGGACCACTGGGGAAGTCCCCCTTCCCCTATCTTGTCCCTCTCCCAAGTCCTCTCTCTACTAGTAACAGCTAGTTTGTTCTCTGTATCTATAAGTCTATTTGAAATATATACATGCTTAAATGATGGGCAAAAATATTTTAAAAGTTACCTTGCAAATCCTTCAAATGACATTAGGCCTTGATGACACATACTAACGCTAGGCTCGAACTTCTGCAAGGGATACAAAAGGAGTGTTATTTAGGTAAAGGAAACTAAAGGGAAAAAAAACCACCACATCATTTTTTAAAACTGTTCTGTTTTCATCAGGAAATATCTAAACCAAATATTTGGACTAATTTAGTTATGGAGTGTTAAAATGTAGTTTTTCAGTCCAAAAGAAAACATTTATTATGTGTGAGTTTATTATAGGAAACATATTTATTTGAGAGGAAAAAAAAAGGGAGAAAAGAATAAAGCTGATTTATATGGAAACAAACAGTATCAGTTTATCCAGGTGAAGACGGGAATCAGAACAGCAGCTACTGCAGAGGTGGTGGGAGGTGAAATGTGAAGGTCCACTCAGGACAGTGGTCACACTCCATCATATCTTAGTGCACACTCAGTCATGTGATCATAATCTTACATTTTAAGCATCGCCAGTGATCAAGTCCAGTTGCTGGCCAGCTAATCCACTGATTCCTAATCAATTGACAAGGGAGGCTAAAAGCCTAGTCTAATTCTGATGCATGTGGCGCAGCCACAGGGAACCATCTGGCCCCCTCTCTCCTCTCACCCCCTAGAGGAAGCCATGACCACCTCCTCTGGGTTACAGTGACAGCTTCCTTCCCAGTTTCTCTGGCCTTCACTCCTTCCCTAGCAGAGTTTACACTCCACTGGGGCCAGAGTGACCTCTTAGAAACTTAAATTATCTTCCCCTGCTCAAAAATTTCCAATAGCTTCCCACCTCCCATGGACTCCTTACCATGGCCTAAGATGCTTGGATGGTTTGGCCCCTGCCCACCTGTCGGAAATCAAGTCTGCTACAGTCCCTCTGGCTTTTGTTATTCCTCACAAACTCCAAGCTGGCTTGTTCTTGCTACTCTCTGTCTGGAAAGCTCTCTCCTTAGACCTTCACAAGGCTTAATCACTCAGGACTCAAGCCAGGTGTCACCTCGCTCGAGTGGCCTTGGCCTACTCCTCTCAACCTTCCATTCCCTTACTCTGCTCAGGTTTTTTGCAGAGCCCATTATTATCTGAAATTACATGACATCTTTATTCATTTATAGTTTGCCTCACCCACTAGAATGTAAACTGCTATGAAGGTCTGAACTTGATCTTAAATACTATATTTCCAGGCCCAGAGGAGAAGCTGATAAACATTTGTCAGACAATCAAAATAGCTGATGACCTAACGACCAATTTCATTGCATGTACTGGAACAACAAAAAACAATCAGGTACTGATTCCTTACAGTAGCCACTGGGTAAAAGAAGACTTGTTGTTTAGTCACTAAGTTGTATCTGACTATTGCAATGCCATGGAGTGTAGCCCGCCAGGCTCTTCTATCCGTGAGATTTCCCAGGCAAGAAAACTGGAGTGGGTTACCATTTCCTTCTCCAGAGAATCTTCCCAAATCAGGGATCAAGTCTGAGTCTCCTGCACTGGCAGGCGGATTCTTTACCACTGAGACACCAGGGAAGCACCAATGGACAGAGGAGCCTGGGGGAGCTATATAGTCCATGGGATCAAGAAAGAGTCGGACGTGACTTAGCAACTAAACAACAGCAAAAGAAAAAGGTTTAGGACCTATGTTAACTGTATGTTAAATAAGAACACTCACATATTTGGTATTTTAAAAAAAAAAAACCTTCTATTTCTCCTCCAGACTTTAAAGCCATTGGAAGGAAATATAAAAAGAGTAAACGTTCAGCAGAAAATAATTAGAATAGTTAGAAGCTTTACACACGTGCTTGCACACAAAAAAGATACAAACCTGGATGATGCTGAGGATTTCATCATAAGTATAGTGTTCTCCTTGGCAATTCACTAGGAAGTCATTGAGCTGGAGGATGCCGACTCCAAACACACCCAGAGATGTGCTCTCCACTCCGGTGCCATTTGTCACAATACTTGCAGCAGCAATGGCATCCGATATCTGCCTCTGGTTGTCAGACAGCTGCTGTTTACTCTTGATGAATAACCCCAAATCTGAGACATTTCTGGTCAACAAATCTGAAACAGAACCATCCAACAGAACATGGACGGGCTAGCCAGCTTCTTTCATAAAGCCCATTTTTGGAGATAATGGTGTTGTGGAAATATTAAGCAGTAGTAACTCTTCACTAATCTGTCTAAACAAGCTTCACTAATCTGTCTAAAAAGCTCAGTGCTTCTTCCTGGCTTCATATAGTTGAAGGAATACAAAAAACGAATTAGTGAATAAATAAAAGAAATGAAGAGAGATAGGTCAATGATCCTAAAAGCTCATAAACTTCAGTATCAGATGCAAACTGATGTAATTTCATGTAGTTTCATGTAAATTCAGTTGGAGATTTTAGGCTGAATTCAGACTTTGGTTTTTGAGAATAACCACTTCTATGACTGAACACGCATGGAAGACGTACCCTTAAGATTACAGTTTTTTTGGTACTTTAAAAGTGTAACTGTAAACATTTGTGTGCAGGTGCCTGTGTGAACATATGTTTTCAACTCATTTGGGTAAATACCAAGGAGTAGAGTTGCGGGATTATATGGTAACAGTACATTCTATTTTGTAAGAAACAGCCAAATTCTCTTCTGAGCTGGATGTACTATTTTACACTGCCACGAGCAATGCCCTAGTTGCTCCACATTTGCACCCACTTTGGTATGGCCAGTCATTTTCATTCTAACCACCACGGAGAACAGGGTGGCAGTTTCTTGCAGAGCTAAATACAGGCTCACCATAGGATCCAGCAACTCCATTCCTAGGTGTTTACCCAAGTGAGTTGAAAACTTATGTCCACAAAAAAACCTGCATACCAAATATTTATAGCAGTTTTCAACATAATTGCTAAAACTCAGAAGCAACCAAGATGTCTTTCAACAGGTGAATGGGCAAGCATACACATAACAAAATATTACTCAGCAATATAAAGAAATGGGCTGTCAAACCATGAGAAGACATCAAGAAACCTTAAACACATATTACCCAGTGAAAGGAGCTAGTCTGAAAAGGCTACAACATACTATATGATCCCAACTATATGACATTCTGGGAAAAGCAAAGCTATGGAGACAGGAAAAAGATCAGTATTTGCCAGGGGTTCAGAGGAGAGTGGGAGAATGACAAGATGGAGCATAACAAGTCTTTAGGACAGTGGAACTATTTATGTTGTATACTATTGTAATGGCAAATACATGGTCATTATACTTCTGTGAAAACCCATAGAAAACACAGACAGTGAACATTAATGTAAATTATGGACTTCAAATATATCAATATTGGCTCAACTGTAACAAATATACCACACTAATGCAAAAAATTACTAAGGGGGGAACTGTATGTACTGGGGGAGAGCATACAGGAACTCTCTGTACTCTTGGCTCATTTTTCTGTAAACTTAACTGTCCTTAAAAAATAGTCCTTTTTTTTGAAAACTATAACTACTTGACAAATCTACAGTTATGTACATTTATAACTGAATGGTTATAAGGTTGAAAAAGGTTAGTATTCTTAACTTAAGGGCAATATGTTTTTAAATAATTAAAAAAGAAAATTCAGGAAAGAGGACTAAGTTAATTTTGTTTTTTGCTTTTTAGAAAGGTTTATGGTTTCCAGCAAGAACAGAAGAGAAAAACAATAGGCCTAAAATACACGGGTGGTGATGGTAATGGTGGTGGCAATGAATGGGATCAAGGAATTCTGGTTTATGTATTAGGAAGAATGTCCTGAATGTTCAGGCAGGAGTACTTTGCTGAGGTCAGGCAAGACCCTCCTGTCAAAGGGCAGACCGCTCCCAACGCTGGGTGGAGCACCCACCCACCTGGAGGTAGGGAAGAAATGCAGTTCCCAACTGGGACATGCCACAAACTTCGTGGACATTTGGAAATAAGTGGAAAAGGATTTTTAGTTGTCACAGACTGGAAGGCTCTATTGGTTAAATATATCCTGACTCTAAGGACAGACCCATACAATGATGAATTTCCTAGTCCAAAATGCTAATAATACCACCCCCATGACACTCCCATTAGAGAAATGATTCTCTAAGCATTTCACCATGCTCCTGGAGGTAGTGTGACATGTGGGACAGGCTGAAGGTTTGCATGATGGGTCTCTAACTACTTTTAGGTAGAAAGGTCTCAAAGGGAAATATTAAATTGTCACACAAACCTAGGTCAGGCTGAAGACCGCTGATATTTTCATCAATGGTCAGGTTGGTATAGAGGGGGGCTGCCTCAGAGCCAGCTCGGTCACAGGGTACGGCGTAGATGTCAAAGAGGTCCTTTAGGTCCTTGCGGCTCCTCACACTGGGCACAGGATGGAGAACACCTCATCTTTAGCTTCGTTTTAACAAGGGAAGGGTAAGAGCAGGAAAGGCTGAGAAGAAAGCCGGCCATACCTGAATGATTTGAACAGCTCAACAAATTCCACAAAACTCATGCTGCTGTCTGAAACCATGAAGCTCTGAAAGCCCTGCATCCCTCCTTTGATCTTCCCTGGCCAGCAGCTGCTGCTGTTCCAAGCACTGCAACAAAGACACGGCCTTGATGGGCAGAACTGGGACCGGTTCTGTCACTCTGCCCTAAGAGACGTTCTTGGATTAGCAACATGAACAGAAAGATGGACTGCAAGCCACTGAAATTTAGGCTCTTTTCTTTCTAAGCATTGCTTTAATTATTAAGTCTTTTCATTTCTCTCCAAATTCATCTATATTGCATCAGAGGAAATAAAACATTATATATTGAAACCACTTCATGTTTACAGCCTATTTAATAAGGGCACAAAGCTGAGTTAATATTCCTCTACAAATTCAATATTCAAAACAGGTCTTTGAAATCACAGGTCAATGAGAGGGAAAAAAAACCCCATAAATTCAGTGGTTTTGAAGAAAAGTCATTTCAAAAAAGAGCCCCACATTGTGCAATTATAACTTATGGAAAATTATTCATGTGCTTTCATATATTTTAAATCATAGAAACACATTTAAGAAGAAAATCTTTAATGTATTAATGTCTTCCCTTTCTCTTTTCTTTACCAGTTTTTAGATGAAAACAAGGAAGGGTTTTTAATGCTAATGGAAAATGTGAGTCACAAAAATATGAAGGGTGGAAAGAAGCCAACTCTTGCCTAGAATTATATTTGCACCTGCCAAGGCTGTATCTATGTAATATAAAAATATCAGTCATATGGGTCAAAAATTCAGTCTAGCCCTTTCACAATATTTTTTTATTTCCTATGCTGGTTCCTTGAGAGGAGAGTATGAGAAATGTTTTGGCTGATTTTTGGTCAAATCAATCAGTAGGATCTTTCTTTTTTTTTTATTTTTGTTTTTGTCTTTAATTTTTCATTTTTAAAATATTTCAAATATATAAGAAAATAGAGAGAATATTGTAATGAATAGCTAGCTTGTTCTTGATCCTTTCAACAGTGTTTATTTATGGAAAATTATTTTGTGTTGACATCTGAAGGTCACCTCCATTAATGGAAGAGTTTTACAAATGGATAGATTTATGGCATTATACTTTGTAGGCCTGGATTGTTGATTTCCAAGTATGGTGTGGGAAACAGAGGGTAGATCTTGAAGAAGAGGACAAAGGTCTGATAACAAAGTGGTTTTTCATTTGAATTTAAACTTGTATGTTTCATGCCTTCCTTCCTCTGGTTCCCCGACCAGCCACTGTCTATAGGCACCCAACTCCCTCTTACTTTAGGAACCTCTATTCTTCTACTCGGTTCCTTCCTAGGGCTCAATTTTGCTTTCTTCTTGAAGAGTATTCAGGCTGACTTCTCTTCTCCCGCTTGTCTTCTCTTACTGGCCCCTGTCCTCCGATGGCGGGGTCCTCTCATTTTGCATCTGGCATGATAGTGTCTCTATTTATACCTCTTTGAAAACATTTTCCTCGTTTACTTTGTCCTTCCTTTTCCTGCTTATGAGTGATGGAAATAAAGGGAAAGGCCACTTAATTGTACTTATGTGGCTGTTTTATTTTCCCAGGGTACTGTTTCAGTTCAGTTAGTCAGTTCAGTCACTCAGTAGTGTCCAACTCTTTGCGACCCCATGAATTGTAGCACGCCAGGCCTCCCTGTCCACCACCAACTCCCAGAGTTTACTCAAACTCATGTCCATCGAGTCGGTGATGCCATCCAGCCATCTCATCCTCTGTCGTCCCCTTCTCCTCCTGCCCCCAATCCCTCCCAGCATCAGGGTCTTTTCCAATGAGTCAACTCTTCGCATGAGGTGGCCAAAGTACTGGACTTTCAGCTTCAGCATCAGTCCTTCCAATGAACACCCAGGACTGATCTCCTTTAGGATAGACTGGTTGGATCTCCTTGCAGTCCAAGGGACTCTTAAGAGTCTTTGCCAACACCACAGTTCAAAAGCATCAATTCTTCCGTGCTCAGCTTTCTTCACTGTCCAACTCTCACATCCATACATGACCACAGGAAAAACCATAGCCTTGACTAGACAGACCTTTGTTGGCAGACTAATGTCTCTGCTTTTTAATATGCTATCTAAGTTGGTCATAACTTTCCTTCCAAGGAGTAAGCGTCTTTTAATTTCATCTGCAGTGATTTTGGAGCCCCCCAAAATAAAGTCTGACACTGTTTCCACTGTTTCCCCATCTATTTGCCATGAAGTGATGGGACCAGATGCCATGATGTTAGTTTTCTGAATGTTGAGCTTTAAGCCACCTTTTTCACTCTCCTCCTTCACTTTCATCAAGAGACTGTTTAGGCTGAAATATAATATAATTCTGATTCTTTGTAGCTTTAATTTTGTTACAAACCTACAAACCTTGCAAAAGTGGTAAAAAGAATTTCCAGGTACCTGTGACCCAATTAAGCCAAATGCAGAAATTATGTACATTATTCACACTATGAAAGGATGCTTCCCTTTAAAAGAGGATTTACTGTAGGGTTTTTCTCTATAGCAAGCTTCCAAGAGAAACAGAAAGAGAGAGGTAGAGAGAGACACCCAGAGAGACAGACAGAGACACAGAGACAAGGAAAGAGAAAAAGAGACATGAGGAGGAGGGAGATGCGGGGAGGAAGAGAAGGAGAGAAGAGGGTGGGTGATGCATGTGTGTTAAGTGTGTGTGTATAGAAATGTTTCCAAACCAGTACCTATACAGACCCATATCCTCCTCCCACTTCTCTGACAAAGTAATAGAATGTCTGCTTTTTTTTTTTTCATCATGGTTCTGTCTGGAATCTCAACATTTCTTAAACTTTAGTGTGGGGTTGAGAGAGATGGTATGGCATTCTGATTCCTCTGAAAGACTTTCATTTTAATATTTTTTTAAGAGGGTAGCTGTTGTTCCAAATCTTTAATTGGCATGGACCTTAAAAAATTATTTACAGTAATACCAGCTTTAGGATTATATCTAAACCTCTACAACTGGCTGTAAGACATTCATTTCTCCAGACACGTACATCTTATACATGAGAAGAGTGTTAAATATATTTCACCCATTAGCAAAGGATCAAGTTGCTTACATGAAAACATTTATCCTTCATTTAGAGCAGTGCTATCCAACAGAACTTTCTGCAATGATAGAAATGTTCTTTATCTGCACTGCTGAGTACATACAGTAGCCACCAGCCAGTGGTAGCTATGCAATACTTTTAATGTGGCTAGTGTGACTGAGGAATTGAATTTGAAATTTTAATTAAATTTGAATTTAAATAGCCAGTTAACTTTTTTTGTTTGTTTTCTTGTGGCTGCTGTGCTGTGCTAAGTAGTTTCAGTCATGTCTGACTCTTTGCGACCCCATGGACTGCAGCCTGCCAGGCTCCTCTGTCCGTGGGATTCTCCAGGCAAGAATGCTGGAGTGGGTTGCTGTGCCCTCCTCCAGGGGATCTTCTTGACCTAGGGATCCTGTGACTCCCACGTTGTAGGCAGATTCTTTATTGCTGCGTCACTGGGGAAGTCCTTTCCTGTGGCTAGTGGCTGCTAGACCAGACAATGCAGGTTTAGAGACTGACTGCTAAGGTTTTGTTACTGTTACTGGCCTTTGAAGGATTGGTTTGTCAAAAAAATTAGAAGCCATTATAGTAATGTGAGGGGCTTCTCTGGTAGCATAGATGGTAAAGAATCTGCCAGCAAAGCAGAAGACCTGGGTTCAATCCCTGGGTTGGGAAGACCCCCTGAAGAAGGAAATGGCAACCCACTCCAGTATTCTTGCCTGGAGAATTCCATGGACAGAGGAGCCTCACGGGCTATAGTCTATGGGGTCGCAAAGTAGTGTGAATGGTAGTAGTGTGAGAAAGTAGGAAAATGCAGTCAAGAAAATTAATAGCTTTTAAAATTTGGGGGTTTTCAGTTTTAAAGTGATTGTTAAAGACCATCTTTCGACAGAGCGCTAAAAGAGGATGCCCTTCTACACAACACGAATGTTGTAAAGGGTCCTTCTTTTTATCATGTTAAGGCCCCACCTGGTCGGGCTCTTGTTGGAAGCAGGCAGCACAGGGGAGGACACTGGCCTGATGGGAGATGATGTCCCGGCAGCCAAGGTAGGGGGCCCAGTCGTGGTCAAGGAGTGGGCTCTTCTGGAAGGGAGAGGGTTGGGAGGGTTCATGATGGCATTTGCCTCTGTGAGAGTGGAAGACAGAAAAAAGACAGTGACTCTGATTAAACTTTCCCTCACAAATCAGAAAAGATGTTTCTGAATGTCTAAGGAAATCAATATATACAGGCAATTACTGTATAAGAAGCATTAAAATATTCTGGTGAGTTCTCAATCCTGGCTACACATCAGAATCATCTGGGGAACTTAAACAGTGCATAGATATCCTGGACTCACAGAGTCTGAATTGGTTGGGCTGGGGTGTGGCTAGAGCATGCAGAGAGTCTTTAAAAAGCTCTAATATCCAGCCAGGAGGTAAGAATCACTGGTCTAATCCAGTGATTTGATTGTATCTTTCAAATCTAATATTCCTTGTCAATAATGGCAAGTTAACTAGTTAGTATTTTCTTCTAAGTACAGCTTACGTCTGCAAACTTGTGTTTGCAGAAATACCTCTTGGGTTCCATCATCCAGTTAAAAACAAAGGTAAGTATATTTAATAAGATAAAGAGTTTAGTTAAGAAGGCCTGTGTTGAGATATAAGTGTATATCTCAATTTAAAACCAAATGCACGTTTTCCCATTTAAAAATCCTCAGATATGAAGATGCTGCTTTTTACCTGATTCTTCTTGTTCATTGACATCTTGAGGATCAGAACCACTCCGACTCCGACTCTCTTTGTGTGTTTTGGCCTTGCGGGTGGCCATCTCATCATCCGTCACCTCTCCACTCTCACCCTGGGAACAGAAAACTCACCATGTTTATCCTTCCCATCTCTGCTTAGCTCAGGTGGGTCCCTATTTTTTCACTGATCCACCATCAGTTCCACCTCCCCCTGGTGAAACCAGTAAAGACCTATGTGAAGGCTGACCAAGTGCTCCCTTGTTCTGTTTATCCCACGTGTTCTTCATGATAATGTAGTACTCCTTGGGGGAAAGGGTGACAAGAGAAGGCATAAGATCCCTGCAGTCTGTGCAGAGACAGAATTATGAAGCAGATAAAGTTCAACCTAGGCATCAACAGCCTCCCAAGTGCAAAGAGTGGAACTTCTTCCATTTAACGATGAAGAAAATGTATCACACTATAGTGACAATATAAATAATGTAATATATAATATAGAGTGATACATATATATATATCTATCATGCTAAAAAACAAAACACAGAATTTACATTCTTAACCATTTTTAATGTTTCCCTTGTGGCTCAGATGGTAAAGAAGCTGCCTGCAATGTGGGAGACCTGGGTTCAATCCCTCGGTCAGGAAGATCCCCTGGAGAAGGAACTGGCAACCCGCTCCAGTATTCTTGCCTGGAGAATCCCATGGACAGAAGAGTCTGGCAGGCTACAGTCCATGGGGTTGCAAAGAGTCAGACACAACTGAGCAACTAACACACACATGACAATTTTTAAGTGTACCATAGAGAAAATGGTGCTAACTATTTGTATTCTGTTGTGCAAGGTATTTCTAGAACTTTTTCACTTTTGCAAAACTGATACTCTATACTCATTAAACAACTCCCCCTTTCCCCTTCACCTTAGTCCCCGCAACCACCACTCTATTTTCTGTTTCTAAGAGTTGGACCACTCTAGGTATCTCATACCTGTAACTGGAATCATGCAGTATTTGTCCTTTTGTGACTGACTTATTTCACTTAGGATAATGTCCTTAAGGTCATCCGCGTTGCAGCACATGACAGGATTTCCCTCTTTTTATCCCCATTGTTCGTACATGTTACCTTTTCTTTATCCTTCATTGGTGGATGGACACTTGATTCTCTTGTTAATATATTTTAAATTGAGTTCTAGCCTTTTGATCCTCCAAAACCTTCCTAATATGATCCTTGTTCCTTACTATCCTTTCTTTGCCCACCACAGAACCCATGCTCCAACCTGAAGCCTGAATCCAGGGCCCCCGTGCCAGAGAGGCGGTCCCCTGCATTGTCTGCCTGGTGAATCCTATCTGTCCTTTAAGACCCACCTCTCACCTTCTCTGTGGAGCCATCCCTGCCTGACTCCCAGTCTTCTATTTTCCTTCTCTCTACCCCACAGCATTCTGCAGACCGCGTGACAGGGACTCTTACTTAGATCTCACTGTGTTTGTTAGCATCTCTGTGTCCCTCTATGACCCTGACTTTTTGCTGGTGGTGACTCAGTTCCTAGTACTGGGCTTGGCATCCAGTGGGCACTTGGTAAGCTCTTGTATTTTATATGTTTTACATCTTACCCTGTCCCCAATCCAAATGACCTAAAATAGTTTATGGTTATGTAGATTATACAGTGGTCCCAGATGATTGGGTTGGATGCTTAATAAACAAGTAACACCCTACCCTCATAAGGATTTTCTTCTTTTTCTTGGCGTTGCTTATACTTAAGGTGTTGGGCTTCTCGGCACTCTTTGCTGATGTCCCAGGGCTGGGGTTTCGAGTACTCCATCGTCTGCCACCAAACAGCTCCACAGCTTGAGCCAAAGTTGGGCCTTCATATCGGCCATCCTCCTGTAAAAGAGACACATTCTGAACCCATACGGGAAGAATGAGTAAAGGGGGAGTAAATGTATCAAAGGCCTTCCAGAAATTCCCAGAGGCAGAGGAGCACAGGCTGTCACCAAAAATAATGATATGGCCACCCAAGCGTCTCTAACTGCCTGGACTCTCTGTTGGGGATTTCATCAAGTCCTATGTGGTCCTGGTCAAATCCAGCTGAGTTCCAGTGTTGTGCTTTAATACAGCCACGTTCAATTGGGATTAACAAAAAAATTTCCCTTTCCACTTTCAGAAGTTATGTTTCAGCATCATCACTGCAGGCAAATTCATTAAGATGTACTTTGTAAATCTGGGCTTTGAAGGACTTGGAGGGTGTATATGTGTGTATGACTCTATTGAAGTAAAATCAAGTTCTATTTGTTATTTCATCACTCTAGCTATATTTTCACCTAGCTTGATGCTTGGGACAGTCTGACTTGAAGTCAGAGTAGGTGGAGTACATGAAATTCATTTTGAAGGGCTCTGGGGGCACCTCAAGTAGTTGAGCTGCCTTCTCCTTCAGTGACTGATATCCAAAGACAGAGAGCCCAGGGGACTCAGAATACCATGCATATTATGATGCCTTGAGCAGTGAAAACATCCTCAGTGGGTACATGATGGTTTACAATAGCTGCTTCTTGTAAGGCAGCTCTACGTAACATGCATTGAGTATCAGAAGGGATGGAGTAATTAAACAGTGTTCAACAATTCTCCTTGTAAGTCAGGAAAGTTAATAAAACTACAAAAAGTCACATGTGAATTAAAGACAATATTGATATTTCACAAGTCGTAGAAAAAGCACCTTTTCAATCTATTTCTATTTACTATCTTTACTTTCTACAAGCTTTTAAGGTTAGTCCTCCTTTGCAAATGCAAAGACGTGCTTATAAATAGATTTTGGCTTTGTTGTAGATAATATGCAAATAATAAAGCGACTTTGTGCGCAAACGTGTGTGCATGTGTATGTGTGTGTTTGCGCCTTCATGTCTGTGCTTGTTCCTAATGTTCAATGACTATCTGATTTGATGACTTGAGTTGTGACCTCCTACTTCCTGAATCCCATTACGGATCCCAGGATGCTTAGTGAATTGGATACTTGGTGATCTTTTGAATGATATGTGATGAAACCTTTTGGTGACCTTGTGTCCTGAATATCTGTGATTTATGCCTGTCTGTGGGTCATTTTTCTTTTCTTTAACCATACCCAAGTTTACTTTATCTCTTGTCACTGGATACAGTCTTGGGTCTATCAGTCAATGGGCAACATCCTCCCTTGACCAATGGTTGGTATAGGACCCAAATAAGCCAATCAAACTCACCATCCCTGACATGTACTCACTACTATATTTAAAATGAATAATAATCAACAAGGTCCTACAGCACAGCTCAATGTTATGAGGCAGCCTGAATGGGAGGGGAATTTGGGGGAGGATGGATACATGTATACGTATGACTGAGTCCCTTTGCTGTTCACCGGAAACTGTCACAATACTGGTTGCTAATTGGCTATATCCCAATACAAAATAAAAAGTTAAAAAAACCTCCACCCCCGGAAAATGAATCTTGAATGGAGTGATGCAAAGAATGAAAATGGCTGGAGATGATTCCACCTGGTGCAGATCTGCTGGAGAGAGTTCCTGCTAACAAGTCACCAAACTGACTGCAAAGTGACACAATTTCATAAGCTGATTTTTAACTACCTTATTGCATAACATACTCTGATTACAAAAAAATTCTGTAAAATTTTATCTATGGGTTTTAACTAATACATCTTTAAACATTAAACCTAATGCTTAAACAGAGTAGACCACTTCATTAAAATTTAAAAGCTCTTCTCTGCAAAAGACATGGTCAAGAAAGTTAGAAGACAAGCCACAGGCTGGGAGAAAATATTTGAGAAGAAACGTCTGATAAAGGTCTGTTATCCAAAATGTACAAAAAAAATTTAAAACTCAATAATAAGAAAACAAATGACTCAATCAAAAAATAGGTCAAAAATTTGATAGACACCTCACCAAAGTATATATGCAGATGGCAAATAAGCATATGAAAAGATGTTCCACGTCATATGTCATCAGAGAAATGTGAAATAAGACGAGGTACAACTGCACACCTATTAGAATGGCCAAAATTGAGAACACTGACAACACCAAATGCTGGTGAGGATGCAGAGCAATAGGGATTCTCATTTGCTGCTGGTGTGAATGAAAAATGTTACAGCCACATTAGAAGGCAGTTTCTTACAAAACTAAACACACTTTTACTGTATGATTCAGCAATCACACTCCTTGACATTTACTCAAATGAGTTGGAAACTTGTGTCTATAACAAAACCTGAACATGGATACTTACACTTGCTTCATTCATAATTGCCAAAACTTAGAAGCAACCAAGAAATCTTTTAGTAGGTGAACGAATGAATAAACTGTGGTTCACTAAGACAATCAAATTTCACTCAGTAATAAAAAGAAATGAACTATCGAGCCACAAGCAGACATGGGGGAAAACTTAAATGCATATGACTAAGCGAAAGAAACCGATCTGAGAAGGCTACATATTCTGATTCCAATAACATCTGGAAAAGGCAAAACTATGGAGACAATAAAAAGATCAGTGGTTGCAGGGGCTAGGAGAGAGTGGGATAGAGTGGGAGCAAGATGAACAGGCAGAGCACACAGGATATTTAGGGCAGCAAAAATGCTCCATATGGTATTGTAGTGAGGGATATATGTCAGTATATTATATTCGTACAAGCCCATAGAATGTACAGCACCAAGAGTGAACTCTAAGGTAAACTATGGACTTTGGGAAATTACAACATGTTAACGTAGGTTCATCCTTTGTAAAAGGATGTCTAGTCAAAGCTATGGTTTTTCCAGTAGTCATGTATGGATGTGCGAGTTGGACAATAAAGAAAGCTGAGCACCAAAGAATTGATGCTTCTGAACTGTGGTGTTGGAGAAGACTCTTGAGAGTCCCTTGGACTGCAAGGAGATCCAACCAGTCAATCCTAAAGGAAATCAGTCTGGAGCATTCATTGGAAGGACTGATGCTGAAGCTTTGGCCACCTGATGCGAAGAACTGACTCCTTGGAAAAGACCCTGATGCTGGGAAAGATTGAAAGTGGGAGGAGAAAGGGACGACAGAGGATGAGATGGTTAGATGGCATCACTGACTCAATGGATATGAGTTTGACTAAGCTCTGGGAGTTAGTGATGGACAGGGTGGCCTGGCATGCTGCAGTCCATGGGGTTGCAAAGAGTCACATACAACTGAGTGACTGAACTGAACTGAACTGATCCTTTGTAAAAAATGTACCATTCTTGTTAGTGATGTTGATAATGGGGGAGCTATGTATGTGTGGGGACAGGAGGTTTATGGGAAATCTGTGTACTTTCCTTTCAATTTTATAATAAACCTAAAAATGCTCTAAAAAAATAAAATCTTTAATAAAATTTAATAGACCCATTACCATGTACATATAAAAGAATCAGCCTCTACTGCTTTGGTTTTCCTAAATTCAGAACATCCTAACATGGCCCAAGCTTTACTATTAATGGAAATATTTTAGGCCTGTAAAAGGCAGGATGCCTTTGTTTAATCTTTAAAGGAGACTTTCTGGGAACTAAAATGTACTTTGAATCTTCCTTTTGTTTTACACAAAACAATAAACTTGTTTGGGATGGATGAAAGATGTACCTTCTATTTTAAATTTGGGCTATAGCAAGTGAAGGTACATTCTCAGTTTTAGAAAATGGTTCATGTGAACACTGAGAATTAGGAAATTGACTCCTTAAAAAATATGCATGTTTTGGGACTTCCCTGGTGGTCCATTGGTTAAGACTCCACACTCCCATTGCGGGGGGCCTGGGTTCAGTCCCTGGTCAGTGAACTAGATCCCACATGCTGTAACTAAGAGTTTGCATGCCACAATGAAAAGATCCTGCATCTCAAGACTAAGGATCCAGCATGCAGCAACAAAGATCTAAGATCCTGAGTGCCACAACTAAGACCCATGGAGCTAACTAAATACATATTTTTTAAAAAATTCATGTACTTTTAACTTGGCTTATCTTTGCATATGATACCTTAAAGACTCTTAAAACAATCTAACTCTTTAAATAGATGCCCCACTTTTTTCCTTGGAGATAGACAGAATCTGTTTCTGTTGCTTACAAAGAAGTTTACTAATAATCCTGTGTATAACCTCCTTAGCTTCCCAGAGATCTTTCCAAATATGAGTTCTTAAGCTCTGCCCATAACTTTGAGCCAAAGCTCATGATACCAACCTTTCTTCCACATCCCATATCAAATTTCTGCACAGTTTGCTTTTTAAAAATTTCTTGTATTCCTAGGCTTTGTTACAAATATCACTATTGGGAATTCCCTGGTGGTCTAGGGGTTAAGAATCTGTCTTTCAATGCAGAGGACTCGGGTTCAAGCCCTGGCCAGGAAACTAAGATCCCACATGCCTTGGGGGAAGGAAGTCCATGCCACAGCTACTGAGCTCACGGGCTCTAGAGCTCGTGCTTGGAAGCAAGAGAAGCCCATGCACTGCAACAAAGACTCAGAGCAGAGCCCTCCCAAAAACCAACCAAACAAAAACAGAAGTCACTATTTTTTCTTGTCTTTTGCTTTATCTCTTACTACTATTTTCATTAGCTTAGTTTATGTTCACTAGCACTAAAATACTTGTATTTGAAAGTAACACTGCAAACATTTATCACAGAAGAGGACTCGGATGTTAGGAAGATTATTTTCTATATAAGCTCTTCCTAAATTGGGGATAAAGAAATATTCTTATATGGCTGTTAGCAGAAGTTTGGAAGAAATCAAGATCTTCCATACGTTTCTTTAGTTTGTAGATATGTTTAAAAATTTCTTTTGTACTTTGGGACTTCTCAGAGTTTTAAGTGTGCTAAGCTGTATTATAAATCACCAAGGGGGCATTTAGAGTGATACCTATTTGACCTTTTGTTCTCCAAGTGCCAAATTAGCATCTTTTTAATATTCCCTGAAACAATTTGGGAACTGGTCTATATGATGGAAAAATGAGTAGTCCGTTGACCTTTCTCACTTAAAAAAAAGAAAGAAAGAAAGAAATCTTGAGCGTCTAAGACTGTTGTCTGTCTTAGGCAGCTTGTGTAGTACATTGTTTTGAGGATGAATGCCATCCATGTTTTCAGAAGTGACTGAGGTATATGGAGGCTTTTTGCCCTTACACTGTGACAGCTTGGTTCCTCACAGGGGTGGAAGGATGGGGGTGGAGAGAAAGGGAGGGATATAGCTGTGGTTACAACTGCGGAAGACCAAGTCAGCTCCATGTCACTTCCTCTGTCTCAGCTCCAGCAGCACCTTTTCTCACCCATTGTCTGTGGTCTCATCTGGTGCCCCCTCAGCATAAATTGAAGGTTGCCAGCGTAAATGAGAAACTTCGCGCTGTGTGTTGGTTGCTCAGTTGTATCCGACTCTTTGTGACCCCATGAACTATAGCCCCCTAGGCTCCTATGCTGGAGTGGGTAGCCATGCCCTTCTCCAGTGGATCTTCCTGATCCAGGGATCAAACTCGGGTCTCCTGCATTGCAGGCAGATTCTTTACCATCTGAGCCACAGTACAGTACTGTGAACTTAGTAATGAAAAACTAAGTAGACTTTACATGTTAATTCAGTTACTTTGTAAGATTGGGAAGGAAACACACGGAGCAAATAAACCACATAGGTTTTGCGACAGTGACTGTAATTGAGCCCAAAGACTTTGGTTCATGACCAGACTGAACGCATTTTCATGACTGTAGAAGGCTGAGGAATGACTGTAATTGAAAACCAATACTCATAATAGCTCCTGGAGACCTTCCTTCCAAGCAGCCAGCACCACTGAGAGCTCCCTGTGCAGTAGACAGGAAGCAAGCATTTTGGTTCCCATTTTATTTCAAAAAAAATTTATTTATTTGGCTGTGCCAGGTCTTAGTTGCATCATGTGGGATCTTTAGTTGTGGAATGTGGGATCTGGTTCTGTGACCAGGGATAGAACCTGGGCCCCCTGTATTGGGAGCAAGGCGTCTTAGCCACTGGACCACCAGAGAGGTCCCTTGGTTTCCATTTTAGATGAATTAACTAAAACTGGCTTTGTGCAGTGCAGCATAATCATGTATATAGGCCTAAGTGCTTATTAATTAATTGAGTTCTTCAGGATATGATCTCTACTCATTAAGTACTGTATGGATGTGGGGAAAGGGGAAAGAAGGGGTTTTATACATGTGACTCTACTAACATTCCAGAGCAGAACATGTTTTAAATTGTCAGAAACATGTTAGAACTATGAAAAGTACACGAAAATCAATCCTTTGAGTAATTTAAGTCACAGTGGTATTTGTTCTGTGACACTACAAAAGATAATTCGTCCCCCATAAGATAGAAAAGGGTTTCCCTTGTGGCTCAGCTAGTAAAGAATCTGCCTGCAATGTGGGAGACCTAGGTTCAATCCCTGGGCTGGGAAGATCCCCTGGAGAAGAGAAAGGCTACCCACTCCAGTATTCTGGCCTAGAGAATTCCATGGACTGTATAGTCCATGGGGTCTCAAAGAGTCGGACACAACTAAGCTACTTTCACTCACTCAAGACACAAAAACATAGCAAAGAAAAACTGAATACTCTATACAACTCATTTGACAATCCCACCAATAGTGTCACCTTGTAGTGGGGTTTATGGCTCAATTTCCAAGCAATCTCTGCCCTCCTTCCTCCATAAGCATGTGGCTCTAGTTACATCTGTGTCTCTTCTCACCATCTCATCCAACCCAGTGCTGGTGGACCTTTGGCTGGAGGGTCAAAGTACCTGATGCGTGTGTGTGTGCTCAGTTGCTCAGCCATGTCTGACTTTTTGTGACCCCATGGAATTGTATAGCATGCCAGCTTCCTTTGTCCATGAAATTTTCCAGGCAAATACTGGAATGGGTTGCCACTTCCTTCTCCGGGGATCTTCCCAACCCAGGGATCCTGATACTTTAGGGTTAACAAAAAAAATCACTCAGTTTAAGCTGCCTCCTAAGGGCTGTTGCCACTACAAATGAGGTTTAGAAGAACTCTAGTTATGACTATCTCACATTTGGGAATGTTTCTTTTAATCTTACAAGTTCTACAGTTTGGCAGCAATACACAGTAAATTAAATAACTCTCTGAGAGTCATGGAGCACATTAGAAGATGAAATAGGATTTCGGTTTCCAAAGTAAAGATTTCCAACACATCAGCTAGTCCCTAATTAGTATAAAAGCATTCAGATTACAATGCTTTCCATTTTCACTTTAAGTGAAAATGCTTATATTAACTTGTTTCTTTCCAGATGTGAGAAGTCACTATTTTCATACAAAATAATAATAGGACCTACTTTGAGCCAGACACTATGCTTTATACATATGAATTTACATTATGGCTTTACACATATTAACTCAGTTAAGCCTCATGGTCACCCTTTGGACAATATGAATAATATCATTATTTTTCTCACTTTATAGATAAGAAACTAAGGCACAGAGAGGTTAAGTAAAAGCTGTTCAACATCACTCAGGCAGAAAGTTGACAGGGCTGGCAAAATGAACCTTGGTGGTCTAGTTGTCCAGTGTGTTTTTACAAGATAAGTCTGGAGAATTATACTACTGAGGAAACAGGGAAGGCTGCATCCCTTTCCCCTTACCTGGTAGAGGCTGACGTACTGTTTCCGCAGCCACTGCTGTCTTTGGTCAGGAAACTTCCTCATCTTCCTCACAGCTCTAGTGAGCTCCAACAATCCACTGAAGAGCATTTTAGCTGTGTGCTTTGGTGCCACAAAGTGCAATAATCTATTGTCCGTGGTCTGCAGCCCATAGAGCAGTGTCACACCAGTCTCTGAGAGAGACATGTTACTCAGTTTGTTCTGAACACACACAGTGTGTATATCAATGTTAGGGTGTCCCATGTACACAGCCTTTGCTGCAAACAGATCCAAGATCCCCTCCACCAGGCCACTTAATCCAGCATTGCCCAGTAACGGGAATTTGCCAGGCTCAGACGTGTAACTGAGCACACCAAGTTTTGCTTTAGCACTGGCTGGGGAAGCAGTGGTGGGTTTTATCCAGGTCAAGGTGCTATTGTCAGGCTGAAGCTGGAGGAAGCAGCGGGCAGAGAGGTGCGTGTCCTGATCATAGTGGATGACTGTGGCCCCCTGCAACAGGAACTGGTGCACATCAGCTTGGATGGACAGCACGTACCATGGGATGAGCTCTGTCCCATGGTCAAAGGCTTTCTGTGGCTCTTCCGATCCATGAGAGTCCCATTCTTTGGGCTGCTCAAAGATGTCATTTTCGGAATCCAACAAATCTCCAATTATAAACCTGATAGAAAGAATTACAAATTTGATCTGTCATAATCAGAAGTAAGGACAACAAAAATCTTTCACTGACACTGGCATCATTTTTCATTCCATTACAAATTCAAATTAGCATAGGAAATATAAAATGCTACAAGTTGGAGTGATTTTGCATAGCGGTCTTCTAAAACCTTATATTTAACAACATATCTGACCATAGGCTTTGAGGCCCCATGGACTGTAGCCTGCCAGGCTCCTCTGTCCATGGAATTTTCCAAGCAAGAGTACTGGAGCAGGTTGAATAAAGGAACTACTATATTATTGTATTTTTAATGTAAACAACAATTTTCATTATTTATTAGTCTTTCCTCTTGTGTTAAATACATCCATTTTTGCAATTAATATGACCTACTTGCAAAGTAAGTTTTATTATTATTTTTAAAATTTTTTTAAACTGGAGGATAATTGTTTTATAATATTGTGTTGGCTCCTGCAATATATCAACATGAATCAGCCACAAGTATACATATTTTTTTAATCTATGGGGGAACTGAGGTTCAGGAAGGGTGAGTAACTGGCTCCAGGTTACTCAGCTCAGAAGAGACCTACCCAAGGCAGGAATTTGGTCTGCCTGACTCTTTCTTCTATTTGGCTACTTTGGTAGGAATGTGCTTAAGAGAGACTCATTCTCTTCAAAGCATGAGAAACTGTTACTAAGGTCAAGGCTTTTCACTGCTTGATCCACAGAAATCACTAGCAAAGGGGTGGGTAAAATTGAGGAATTGGTCCATACATCCCTGGGAAGGGATATTCCCATCACCTCGAGACACTTGGGCAGCTGACAGCCTCTTGGCAAGGTCTGAGAAGCGGCCTTGGCCTTCTCAGACTCTCGGTCTAGATCCTGGTCCCTGAGCAAGATTCCACTCCTGCTTTCAAACAGGAAAATGTTCTTTCATGCCTCACATAAACAGATATTCTTAAGAAAGAAAAGAAATCCACAAGAAATCTCACAAATCTGATGATCAGAAGATCCTTTTCAAATAATCCACACTGGAAACACTGGAAACCACCCAAACGTCCAGCAACAATCAAATATATAAATAAAATTTGATGTATTCATATAATACCAGCCTGCACAGCCACGAAAGTAAACATGCAATGGTTAGCCACCTGCAACAACACAGACAAATCTTAAGCAGGACATACAGACATATATGTTGTGTGATTACATTAATGTAAATTTCAAAAAAGGAAAAATAATACTATATTGTTTAGAGAGGCATAAAGTGGTAAAATTATAAAGAAAAACAGAATGTATTATCACAAAATTCACAGCAGTGAATTTTTCTTTACAGGGAAAGGTAGTGACATAACAGACAAGAAAAAAGGGGTTTACGGGTACTGATAATGGATGGTAGCTACACATACACTCACTTGAAACTATTCAAAAACATTAGTTTAAAAAAATTTTTCAGAGTAGTTTTCGATTAGGAGAGAAATTGCAAAGATAGCATACTCCATATATCGTTTTTCCTATTATATTAACATCTTACATTAGGGTGGTGTATTTGACACAATTCATGAACCAATACCACAAAACACTACTATGTATTAAAGCCCATACTTTGCTTAGTATTAGTATTGGTCTTATACTTTGTTTAGTATTTGTATTAGTCTTTGTGGTGTGATCGGTGGCATTATCACCTTTGCCTGTTAACTGGAAGATTGGTGGTTCAAGCCCACCCAAGGCTGCCCTTCTCTGTGTTCCTCAGACAGTAAATAAGCCACCTGCAATGCGGGAGACCTGAGTCGGACCCCTGGGTTGGGAAGATCCCCTGGAGGAGGGCATGGCCACCCACTCCAGTATTCTTGCCTAGAGAATCCCCAAGGACAGAGAAGCCTGGTGGGCTGCAGTCCATGGGGTTGCGAAGAGTCGGACATGACTGAGTGACTTAACACAGTGCAGCACATACTTTGTTTAGATTTCTTTAGTTTTTTACCCATTTCCCTTTTCTCTTGCAGGATTCCATCCAGGAGCCCATATTATATTTAACCTTCATATTTCTTTATGTCATGGTTTCTCAGACTTTTCTTGATTTTGATTTTGACAGTTTTGAGGAACAGTGGTCAGGCATTTTGTAGAATGACCAACAATTAGAATTTGCCTGATAATTTTCTCATAATTATTCTGGTGCTCTGGGTTCTGGGGAGGAAGACCACAGAGGCAAAGTGCCATTCTTGTCACATCATATCCAGGGAACATATTATCAACAGGGCTTATGCTATTGATGCTAACCTGGCTGAGGCAGTGCTAGTCAGGGTCCACTTTACAGTGTCCACTTAAAGTTACTTAAAAAAAAAAACAACCTCCTTTCTACATTGTCCCCTTTGGAAGGAAGTCACTGTGTGCAGCCCACACGTAAGGAAAGGTGAGTCTGCTCTACCTTCTAGAGGTCAGAGTATCCACATAAGTTATTTGGAATTCTGCGTGAGAAATTTGTCTCTTCTCCCAGATGTGTTTGCTTAGTTATCACTTACATACATGGACTTGTGAATATTTATGTAATACTTTCGGTTATAATCAAAGCTTCTCTGGTAGTTCAGACGTTAAAGAATCTGCCTTCATTGCAGGAGACTTGGGTTTGATCTATGAGTTGGGAAGATTCCCTGGAGAAAAGAATGGCTACACACTCCAGTATTCTTGCCTGGAGAATTCCATGGACAGGGGAAACTGGCAGGCTACAGTCCATGGGGTTGCAGAGTCGGACACGACTGAGTGATTTTCACTTACTTACTTGGGTTACAATCTAATACTATTTTATTTTGTTACTCAAATTGCTCCAGCTTTGGCCAACAGAATATAACTTTCCATTGGCTCTTGTGCATCTTTGATATAACCTCATTATTGTTTTAGTTTTTTTTCCTCAGCACTTATTTACTTTTTCTGGCACAAGATACTCCAGGCTCATCTTGAATATTTCCTGCCCCAGTCCTAGAAGCAGTCATCTCTCCAAGGAGCTTTGCTTTCTTTCACTGAAGGCTTATTAGAAATTAAGATCTGAGTTCTAGGTGCAAATCCATTCTTTTTAATGCACTTTTCTTAATGTTACATCTCACCATAAAAAGTGAAGAAAGAATGAGAAAGGAAGAAAATCTTTTGTATTTAAATTATCACAGTCTCTCTGAAATTTCTCTCAGTAACAATGGGAAACCAATACTCAGGTTCTTTTACATAATACTCTGTCCATTCTACACATATATGTAGCAAGGTGGTTAGGGGCACAGCCTCTCTTCACTTTGGGTTTAATGTTAGACTCTACTACCTCTTCACTGTGTGATCTAGTCAAATCACTCAACCTCTCTGACCCTCACTTTACTCATCTGCTAATGACAAAAAGACAATACCCACTTTCAGAGAGTAGTGGTGAAGCTCAAATAAGATAATACTGGTAAGTGATTCAGCACAGACTCTGGCTCAGTAAAGTACATGACTATAATTAAACATAAAAAAGATCAAGGTTTTAGCCTGCCTCTTCTCCTTCCCACTTCCTTTTCTCTAGGCTAAATCAGTCCAGCTGTTCCTCTAGAGGGGCTTTCCTCAGGGCCACATCCAAGTTCTTTAATCTTTTTATTTCCTTTCTCTGGGACCATTTCCACGTTCTCCCTGTCACACTGCTTGCTGGTGGTTTTTTTTTCCCCCTAAGAGCAAAAAGGATTCAATTGGAGAGTATCAATACCCATGAAATGTAACATATGTTAATTTGGACATAGAACTTCTGGTTTTAATTTAAGAGAAATGGTGTTTTCCATATTCCATTTAATTTGAGTTCTGAGCTAAATCAAATATTTTCCAGTGAAAAACTATAGGCATTGTGAAAAGTCGTATCTGGAAAAGAAAAATTATGAGGCTTTTCTGGAGCCTGTTCAACTGCTCAGCTATGATGTAAACCGGGAGAGAATGGACACTATCTTTCTTAGCATCAGTTCTATTTTAGACACAAAAGAACTAATGTTAGGTGTTAATAATTCCTCTAAAAGGCAGTCTTCTAGGGACTAACGCCCAAGATAAAATTGGCAGTTGTAATAAAATAAGATCACTTTAAGAAGGAAACTAGTAGCTTTGTCTCTTACATCATATAGTGAATTTTATGCACTTCTGTGCCTGATTCTCTCAGGAGACAAGTTTCTGTGGGTTTACAAGAAGGAATTAGGTGGGACTTAAAGAGATACTCAGGAACCAAGTGGCATCAAAGATATGGCACTGCCAAAAAAAACCTACCTAGTCAAATTTAGGTCATATGCCTTAAGGAGACGACCAGGAAGTAAAATGAGAAGGAAAGTTTATATTCAGCTCCTGAAGAGGTTCTGAAGCATCCTTCAGTTAGAAATTATAAATTGACAGGTAAACACCTTTCTAAAGTTCCATGATGAAAATCTGTTCAAAAATATAACTCATTTTAAAAAATATTTATTTTTAAAAATATTTATTTACTTGGCTGCACTGGGTCTTAGTTGGGGACATGGGACCTTTGATCTTCATTGTGGCATGAGGGATCTTTCAGTTGTGGCATTTGAACTCTTAGATGCAGCATGTGGACTCTAGTTCTCTGACCAGGGATTGAACCTTGGCCCCCTGAACTGGGAGCGTGGAGTCTTAGTCACTGGACCACCAGGGAAATCCCTGAAGATCTTACATGAGGGGAAAAGTGGACTACTTATCAGGCTTCCCAGGTGGCACTAGTGGTAAAGAACTCATCTGCCAATGGAGGAGACACAAGAGACTCAGGAAGATCCCCTGGAGGAGGGCACGGCAGCCCACTCCAGTATTCTTGTCTGGGGAATCCCATGGACAGAGGAATCTGGTGGGCTATAGTCCACAGGGTTGCTAAGAGTCCGACATGACTGAAGTGACTTGGCACTAATTTTTTTTCATAGCATTTTGTTACTCCTGCAGAGTTAAATGGATTACATAAACATGATTCATCAAGTGATAAGCCTAAATTTAATTTTGTAAGACATGAAAAG